AAATCATGTGGGTCTGCTGCGACAGGTTTACGTGAAGGCATTACTTGAGGATTTGATGTCACCAAGTTCCAGTTAATGTCTGAAATGTACTCAGTAATTAGGAGTTCTACAGTATCATGAACCTCTTTACAGTTTTTGCTATGGTTTTTCAACAGTTTGTGGTCATCTTCTGTCCCTGCAGGGAAAACAAAATACCAGTAACTATTTTTTCAATTGGCCTCTAGGAAAAAATTGTAGAGCCAAAAGTTGGTTTAAGCACTTACAAGTATGTAGGGTGTTTCAGGATTTTTGAGGTGTATCAACTTATACAAAGTAATTAATGCACGATATTTGTATACCTTTCTTGACAGATTATTGTCAGCAAAAGTACTGAAACCTTGGTTTCAAGCCGCACGTTAGTCAAGCAGTAACTTTCCTGTCATGAATAAAGCTGAGGATAACATCAGCTGCACTGTGCCAACTACCTTAATTCCTAATGAACAGTTATACATTTATTGAAATACTATCAAAAACATTTGTACGTGGGCCATTTCTTAGTTTAACTTAAAGCATAATTTATCATAAACAGGTTCAGAGGTTTAACTCAATTGCAAGTTTCAAATTCCAAGATTCAAAGGTTCATGTGCTTGGAACATTTTAACCAAATAGCTCATGGTCTTGTGTGTGATCAGAAAAATCAACATGATGTCCAAAATGACCTTTCTTAACTGCCTTCAGCTTTCAAACAAATTGGAGACCCTGGCTTAAAACTAATTTTCTACATCTTACCATTACAAAAAGTTGTGTTACTATCTGCTACTCCTTGTGAGGAACCCACTACAATCTCACTCAAAATATAAACAGCTTGCTTCTGGTACAGCTTTGATTCATGAAACAAGTCAAGGAAGTGATCAACCACAAGAGGAAGGTTGCCATGGTAACCAATGGTACGACAAATTTGGTTCACAGCCACCTTAACTTTTTCATCTGTGAAATGCTTGAAGTGGTATTTTGGATATGTGCTGGCTGTGAACTGGTTTACTGGGTATGACATTGGGTTTTGTCCTTCAGTCTCTGATGGTAGAACTGCTGTTTCTGACAAAGATGGTGTTTTTTCTTCTACAATTCCCACATCACCAACATCAAACTCTAGAACCTGTAAAAGTTTGAAGGATGAAATTTAAAGTAAGGCCTGTTTTTGGGTTTCCATAGTGCTCTGCAATTTTACAGAAAGGACTAGCTGTGCTGTAAATTTATTCTATCTTATAAAAAGGTGGAATAAAAGTGTTGTTGCCTCATCAAACAAGAATTTAAAAAAAGACTACTCTAAAGACTTGAGATTATTGTCATGAACAAACCTCGTGATATATCCTATAAAACTACCTTCATTCTAACTTGGCTATTAGTACTGATCAGTTTTTCTCTTAAAAGTGGTTGTGAAAGACTAGTACTCCAACATGACATGCTTTGCTTTAACATAAGTCATCTATGGATGCACTAATACTGACAGCTTTGACTCACATAACTCTGAGAAGTATCCCCACATGGGGAGATTTACAGTTCATGATCCCAAACTCTTTTTGCAAGGCACTATAATATGGCATCACCCTGATCATGTCCACATGTTGTGGCTAATCCCATGCATGGAATGATCTTATAATCTAGACAAAATTTTTTCAGCACTCTCTACCACAATTTTCAGGATCTGCCCCTGAGTTTTGCTAATTTTGATAATTTCAGATTTCATTAGAACTTGAAGACTGTAGAGAGGTAAAAATGCTGTTCCTCTTTATCACTTATTGTTAATATAAAGTCTATATCAAAGAAACTTTTTTTCATGACACCTCTATTCTATTCTAAACATTTTGCAAATACACTGTACACATATCAGAATTTTAAAGTTCCTCATACCTGAATCAGGGCAAGGGAAAGTCTCTTCAAATAAGATGAAGAATTCAGCAAGTTATAAAGCCGGTTACCAAGGAGGCTTAAATAACCAAGAACAAGGTTAAGGCTTTGGATTTTTTGAGCATCATCCCCTGTTCTCATGAGTCTAGGGAGTGATGTCAATGCTAAATGAAGATTCTCCTCCAACATGGAGTTCAGTGGGCTGGGACCTAGTAAATTAAGAAATAAAAAAAAATTAATACAAAAAGACAAGTCGATCTATTTTGACTCAGTGTCTAGTAGGCAAATAGTCTGCAAAATCTGTTCAACAACGCTTATAAACAATTAAAAAAACTTATTTGACTTTGGTCATGGATGGCACTTTTCCTTTATAATACCTGGTTTTACACAAAACCATTACCTATAGAAGGCATAACTTTCTGGGGTAAGGGGTAAGAAACTACGGTGCTGAATCTGTGGTGGGTATATGGGATAATTTGGTTCATCATCTGATTGATACTGTATGTTTGCCATCGTATAGAGTTTCTAAAACTGATGTTTTGAGTGTAAGCCCTTAGTCAGAGTGAGAGATAAAACACAAGCTTTTAATTAGAAACTTTCTCCTATGGCCAAATTTATATCAACTCAAATTATCACGTGATAGCTATACAACTTAACCTAGTTTAACTTAAGATAAGATATCATTAAAGCACATTGAACATGAACCAAAAAATGAAAGCATATGGTAAGTGCTCTATTATTGCACTTTTTAGATCAATATCAGTATCTGGGCAACTGCCCACCTACCCCTCCCCTAACCCAACATTAACCCTAACCTGTTATTAAGAGACTGTTGTTGGGTTAGGGGAGGGGTAGGTGGGCAGTTGCCTGGATACTGATATTGATCCCACTTTTTCATGTTTAAATCACAACCAGAAAGAAGCCTAATAAGTTTTCTAGCTGTACCAAAATAGGCAAAGCCTAAAAACATAGATAACAGTCCTCACCATTTCCAAGTCTTTCAGAAAGTTTACTTAGGGCTTTTTTACTGAGTGATGCCACTTGTGAATAATCATCCTCAGTCAATCCAACCAAGAGATCCACCAGAGTGGATGCACAATTTTCTAATGAGTCCTTGCAGTTTTCAAGAAGTTTGTCACAGAACTTTGCCAATGAAAGTCGCACTTTCCAGTTAGAGTGTGCAGAAATGATACTAAGTCTTCCAATGACAACTTTTAATTTTTTTCCTGTCTCCTGAAACCATTCTAAACTTCTGTCAACTTTTAACTGCTGCAGTTTATCGTTTCCTTCTGGATTTGAGCTTGAAATTTCTTGTTTTGGGTTTTCTTGTGGTTCATTACACTTATCTGCAGTAGTCAGTGACATAAGTTGTGTAATGATGTCTTTATCCTCTGATTGTTTTATTGGCAAATACTTATCATTCATCACTAAAGAAAGAACGTCCCCCCACACAGAGATGGCCTGGGTAATAACCGCATGGCCTTGTTTAGTGTCTCCTGTAATAATTCGGCATAAAGCTGTTGAAATTCCAGGTACAAATGAAGCAAATGCTTGTGCTACAGAATCCTTGATTGCATCTTGTAATGCGAGCCTGTCATCTTGCTGCTGAGGATCGCTTCCGACCTCTGACTGCCAACCAAAGTTTTCGCTGCAACAAGCCAAATAACTGAGGCACTCAAGGGCACACACTCTTAAATTTCTGGCTTTCTCGTTTCCTGACAATGCCAACAAGACGCTCACTGAATGCCCAAGAACTGGAAGCAGACGTGGTGAATAAAATGCACCTCTAACCACAAGTGATGAGCTCTGGAGAAGGCAAGAGAGACATTTGACGACATTCAGCTTAAGTTCTTCGGGAATGTCAGCCAAGTGACCCGGACCCCCTTCCCTTGAACTTAGAAGCATGCACATGTAATTAAACATTTCTTCAAATGTTCTCAGCTGACAAACACGTGCACGTCTAAAGAGAGTTTCGATGCATCCAACAGCTGTTTCTTGTACTTCGTTTGTAGCATTGCCGCTCTGCAAGGCAAGTTTTAGAGGAAACAACACGTACTCTACCAGTTGGGTGAGGTGCGCTGGATTTAAAATCCGTAGTTTAGCCTCCAAATCTTTGATGTTTTGTGGTGAAGGTTCCTTTGAAAGTTTTATACAGACAGGCCGAAGCTCTCTGAATGATTCACTGGGATCAGGAGCCATGATCCGCAACTCGAAAACACAACTCACACTTCTACCGCCATTTTGATTTTCTGGTACAATGTGTCTATATATGTTGACATGTTGTGTCCCTCTTACCGAGAAGAGGGGATCTGGGTTATAGATTAGAATAGGGGGTGCGGCCGGGGGATGATGAGGGGAGTGGAAATGCCTCCACTAACAATTAGATAGCCATTGCTTTGCATCGTCATGTTGTAGTTCAATTTATCCTTGGTTCAAATTTTATTTTACTTTGTTTCAAACTCATTATCATACATTACAATACCCAAAAACAAAAGAAAGGCACATTTGAACCAAGGATAAAATTGAACCACAACAGTTACACTGAGCAAATCTGAATCCATCCTTGTGGGGAGTTACTGCCTGTGTAAAAAAATGCCTGTATAGGAAAATAGAAATGTGCTTACCTGCTGCCTGGGAGAATTTCTGGGAATAAATGTGGAGGGTAGCAGCTTGGCCTTCTGCCAGATTACTTGTCATTCTTTGGTTGGCAGCTACAGTTATAAACTCAAGAAATGATGCCTAGCCACAGATGAAATCTAGGTAGCACCAGCCCTTCATCAAGGATAATTCCCAAAACGTTGGCTTTTTAAATTCTGGTAGGGTGGTTTACCTTCCTTTATCAACCAACCTCTTAGCAGGACACCTTTTATTACTAACATTTGCATTTGCATTGCGGTGGCCAAGTTCATATGTTGTCTTAGCTTGTTCAAACGGTGACCCTGCTGTAAGTGGTAAAGTTTTCAAGAAGGTCTTGCCAAGAATGTGATCTATTGCCCATCCATTTTCCAAATGTAACACAAACAATGAAGAATGTAATTGTAGTGTTTGTTCCTATTTGGATAAATACTTTAGCTATTACATAATCTTTATTCTATTGGTTTGCCCACCCTTGAACACAGTCATGTGATAATGCTCAATATCATCGTGTGTAATAAACTCCATGGTATTCTAATAAAGCAGTTTTGTAGAGCACTTGGTCTGTGCACACTTTACTCCATAGTGGTATATAATGAACCCTAATACACAACAGTAATGACTACCACTTTACACAGATCAATTCACACTCAGATCTTTGAACACAACAAAGCCTCCTTAAAAAAAAATTTATCAGTTTTTATTTACAATTTCAGGTCTTAAAACTATGCAGTCATTGAAAATTTCTCCTTGTGTGTCCATTCCACCAAACACCAACAGTAATATCTCTCTATCCTTTTCTTCTGCAGTTTCAGCTGTACTGTCACCTGATATAAAACAACAGATAACAGAAGACTGTATTAACTTTTTGTTTTACTTCAGCATTTGCTTGAAACATCTCACACTTTTCTTTATTTAACAAGGACATTATAATGCATTATGCTGTCATAACATTGGTTAATGGAAAATTCACCATTGCTGTGAGTACCTGATGGCTTAGGAATTTCCACTGCACAAAGAGTGTGATCAAGTCGTGGTGCAGGACTGGGTCCGTCAATTGATATCTGTGTCCATCTTAAGGTTTCTTAAATAAAGAAAAAAGCACATCAGTCATTACCTCAGATATATTTAAATTATTAGAGGTCATAACAATTATACTTTCAACAAATTAGTATACAGTTTTCTGAGAGCATTTTCTTTCAGTGGATAGTGAATCTCAGAGTAGTTGTGCAAATAGCTGTTTACTTTAATTAACATTACTATCTAATTGGTCAATGATGGATGTACAAATAGGTTATCGACAACAATATGGGTTTCTGTATTGTTTTATAACAGATTTTGAGTACAGTATTAAAAGATGGATAAAACAGTACAACTTTCACATTGCTTAGTTTGTGTACCACAATCATTGTCTACAATTTTAGGAACATGCTCAAGCATTTTCAAAATTGTTGCAAAGTGTTTCTCCTAATGTGCTCTAAGAAAGTACAGAGTAGCATAAGAGAGTGATTTTCATTGAGGATGTAATAATCAAAAGAATCCCACAAACTGCCTGTGTATTTGTGATTTATGGTCACTTCTAGTGATTTGAAAACTTTTCAAACCATCACGCACCACAAAAACACAAATGGCATTTGCCTTCATGTGTTTCGTACACTAAGTTAAAAAGATAAAAATTATCAACCTGTATCTAAAGAATACACATCATCCAATGCAGCTCCCACTGCACTCATTCCACCATGGATAAACACTTTTTTTCCTATGGATGTTGCAGCATGTGCTGTGCGCGAGGATGGGGCATGACCCTTTTGTTGAAGTTTACTCCAAGTGTGATTCACTGAATATAAAGAGATGAGTATAATTTTCAAAAGTACCAGTAAATTGGTTTACATCATCATTTAGTTTCCAATAAAACATATTTCATTCCTAAAAATTAATTTTTAATAGTTTATTGGGCTTGTCATTTGATTCTTTTAGGATCTCATTCAATGAATGACGAAATTGATAAATTACAAAGCAAAGGCCATTTTCTCCAGGAAAATTTCACCAGCAGCTGGCACTTAGCCCCAACACTGATGGAGTATTATAGGTTTCCTCTTACCAGTGTCAAATTTATAGAGATCATCAAAGATATTGGTGCCAGCCATTCCACCATGAATATAGATATAAATTCCGACTGCCACTGATATGTGACCATGTCTGGAACATGGAGGATTTCCACTTACATCAGGTTGACTCCAGCTTTTGTCCTCTGAAAATTAACAAAAATATAGATATATTAATTCCTCATTAGTAAATTCTGCAGCATTCAGTACCTGCAATTGTATAGTTGGAACAGTTGTAAAAACACTTTCTTATAAGATGCTCAGTTCATGAAAAATGGGAAAGGGGGTGTGAAGGAGGTGACTGAAGAGACACTCCATTATTTTGTTAACCCTTTACACCCTAACATCAGAATGCATTTTCTCCATACTGTTCTCTATACATCTCCTGAGGTGCTGATAAGGAGAATTTGTTTAACAATCAAGTTGATGATCATTTCTTCTATTCTTGTGACCTAAATGTTTGATTCAGGGTTGATAATGTAAGGAGAAATTGGATGCTGGTCATCCTTGGGGCTCAAAGGATTAATATTATATATGCATTTTGATTGGTTCATACTTATGATCTATGGGAGGACGGACACATGGATGGCATAACAATTGGCAATGTTTTTCTTTTTTACCAAATAAAAGAAATAGATTGCATGTTGCTGTGTGTCTGTTTCAGAATAAATCACAGAAGACATCAAAATGTGGTTTACAACATTCATGACACACTTGGCTGCAGCTCACATACCACTTTTTAGTTCTTACCACATACTGACATCCTCCGTTATCTATTACTCAACAGACACATAGCTACATGGAATCTATATGTTAAACTTGTTGTAATTCACAAAACCATATCATATTAAAAAGTTAGTACAACTAGCCTGGATTCAAATACTTTGATGTTGCTGTTTACATAGAAATTATAAGCACAAATTCCAAACAATGCTTCTTAACATGTTTCCACGTCGTTCCTGAACTCACCAGCATTAAAAACGTGTATTGCTGCATCAGGAACAGGGTCAGGACCACTTAATCCTCCACCAAACACATAGAACTTACTGCCAACAGATGCCATGCTGTGGCAGGTTCTTGGTGATGGTGTATTTCCATGTGTTTCAGCTGTTTCCCATTTGCCATTTTCTACCAAGTAGTGAAAAAGGCAACTTAATTCAACTGATAATGTTTTAACATCTTTAAGTTATTGACTGCTTTTCTTAACATTACTGTCTCTAACTATGTTTCAATCTTACTACTTGTCATAATTGGTAACTTTAGGTAGAAGCCACAAAACTTTAAATATGAAAAAATCTGTTTGATTCACAGTGCACCCTTGAACTTAACAGAGTTATACACACACTGGTACAAGGTAGTTTTAATTATCAAGTGATAATTTTGGGGGAGTTTTATTTTTCTTTAGACCATTTTTGCAATTGCTAAAAATTTTTTTGAAGCAGTAGATGCTCGATTTTAGAGTGCTAAACTTAATCTTATGTATGAATAGATAAAAAAAATAAAAATAATAAAGGAAACAAAACAAAGCAAACTTGGCCAAAATTATACCATCTTCACGAAGCTCTAGTTGAGTGATGAATACATTTTAGAGTAGCTTTATTATCATTACGAGTGCCACGTACCTTGGTCAAGAATTTGAACGTCATTCAAGTTTGTGGCTTGCTGAGCTCCACCAAATACATAAACTTTCTTTTGATCACAATCAGGAATAAAAGCTGAATGTTCATAACGACTGCTAATACCTGGCCAGTCTGGTTTACTCCATTGAAACTTATCTACAAAAATGAAACAATAGCTTAACAACATAGAACGTCTTTATTCCCATATGTTGATTATAAAAACTGTTTTAAATCTAAAGATAACTTCCCTCCAGGTTGAAGAATGACTGGTACTATTAACAAGAGCAATCCTTTCAGGACTTATTGAATATCAGTAAACACATACAATTATACAGTCGAACCTCGATTATCCGGACTCGTGGGGATAATTTTAGGAAGGTTTTTTCCATAGGAATATAGGGACTCAAAAACTTTAAAACAAACCTAGATCCAATATATACACATCAGCGAACGATCCATCGGGATTGGCGCCACCAATAACCAACACACGAGGAGGTTCAGAAACGAAATTACATGTGTGACCTACTCTCACGCATGGGACATCACCTTCAGGTGACAGAACATACCATACGTTTAATTTTGGTGAGTCATTCCTCTCAAGTATCGGAAGAATCTCCATTTGCTGTAATTCCCGATGTTTCTCCTAATGTGTTTCGGTAAGTTTAGAACGCCTTCAAGTTGCCGCCATTTTGAAACTGAGCCTTTCATAGATCAGCAGTTACTCTTCGAAATATCTCATGATTTATTTTTTTTCTAGTGCCAGTTTCTTCTCGTTCTTAACGTGGTAAATCCAAAATGGAGCAAATTATTATTGTGTTTACACTTGCTTATGTGCTTGTGGCACTGTGTTTCATAGCACCTCCGAGGGAGTTCGTGAGTGCTGGATTAACTGTACAAAATATATTGTCCAGTTATTTAGGAAGTGAAGATATGGACTTCGTTGGTTATCATTTAAGGAGGACCACATCGACACTTCTCCTTCATTCGTTTCTTCCACTTGGTGAAGTTTTTCGAGTGCTTCTTGAATTTTGAGCTTCTTATTTGCTTTGAATATTCTTTAAATTGTTGGGCGTGGTAAATATATGACACTTGGGGATTTGTCGTAGGGACTAGGAAACCTTTTAGGTCAAGACACAGGATGATAATTCGTCAAGATTTTCCATACTTCATTATAGAAGCAGTTCTTCGAGAAAATAAATTATATGATTAAGATGAATTCTACACGTAGTTTAATTATTTATTTCTTATGATCTATTCGAGTACAGAGGCGTGATGTCATGCGTGCGTGACGTAAGAGGTCTCTATCAACAACATTTTGCATTTTATCATTTAAAAAACAAATACATTCCATGTTGCGGTGGGTCTGTAAAGTAACACATCACAGAAGACGTCAATATGTGATAAGAATATTAGTATGTGCCACACTTGGCTGTGCCTTGTGTGCCACTATTTTGTTCTGACCACTTTTTTACATCATCAGTGATCAATTACTGAACAGATCTAGAATCTATAAGTGAAACAATTTTGTGATGTAAACAAAAGATTAATGAATAAAGGGGGTAAGTTTCAAAAGAAACTGTAATGCTGCATCAGTGGGAGAGTAAAGCAGGTAATTTGGTGTTAACAACTGAGTTGAAAACGTAAATTGGCCACCATAAAGAGTTAAAAGGCTGACATCAGAGCGAAGGGTTTACGCTCTGATGAAAGGCTTTGTGGAAGGGCTAATGCTTGAAATATCAGACTTTTAACTCTTTACAGTGGCCAATTTACGTTTTCAACTCAGTTGTTAACACCAAATTACCTGTTTAACAAAAGATTACTTTGGGACTAATTATATTATACCTATTTGATACTGATGCAAAGGGCTTTTTTTTTATTTGTCTTACCTCAGGTTACTATATTGGCTTAGGACTAGTTTCACCTGAGCTCCATTTATTCAATCCAGCCAGAGGAGGTGGTGCAGCAAATATACTGCTACTGGTTTGCTTGGGTATTGCTCTTGGTGGTGTCATCTGTGCTAGATATTGGTCTTGGAATAAATGGTAAGCTTGTGCATGAAGAGAAACCTTATTCTCCTTCTTTTTTTAATAGCAAGACTGTTTGAACATTACACTTTCATTGAATTAAGTGGAATGAAAATGTTGAGCTATACAAAATAAAAGGAACCTGAGGCAGTCTGGATGGCAAGGCAAAGGAAAACATAAATTTCTGTCTCTCTTGAGAATTTGGCCAATGGCTGGATGTGTCAGCTATCTCTAAATGTATTTTGCCTTAACTTATTTGCTCTGATAAAGGACTAATGCTTAAAAAGTTGCCTTTAGAAACTCTCCATGGTGGCCAACTCACGTTATATACTCAATTAATAGAGAAAATTACTTTGTAATACCCCCCCAACAATGCAGCACCATGGTTTATTTACTTAGAAACTTACCTCTTACATGTATGGCTTTTACAAATCAGCTCTTACTAGTAGCCTTAAGTTCCAAATAGGACATGAATAATTTCCTTCTTGTCAGTCCATGTTCTCAAACTTTTGTGATATTTTAAGTATGGTGAGAAAATGTATGCCAGTATTTATGCATGTATGTATGTATGTTAAAAACTTTCTGTTTCTTTTTTCACAGGTCAAACCATCCATTTGTGAAGCTTTTACTTAAACATGGTACTCCATGGCGAGCTGTTGCATCTAGTGTGAACATAGAGTTCCGTCGCATTACTAAATTCTCATCAATCATTGGGGGAACAAGTCTTTACATCACAGATTCTTGGATTGTGAAATGCTCAGCCTATAAAGTTAACATTGCACATCAACCTGATGTTCACCTGTCAATCATTCATGCTGAGGACCATGACATTTCTCATGAGAGTAATGTTGCTGTGCAGTTCTTGAATATCAGGGTGTCCAGTATAACTCCAGGTGTTAAACCTTTTGTGATCCGGCTCAATTCTACAGATTATGGTGACCTGAGAGAGAAGCTACAAGCCCCAATTAGGAATGCAAGAAATGTTGTGATACATCAGTCACTTAGTGATAAGTTTCTTGAAGCCTTCAAGGAGCAGGTGTCCCAAAATGAAGTGTACCAGTTACAAGAGGAGGAGGAGGTCAGCTGGAAACTGCATTTTAATTTCAAGTCCTCTCTTTATGTCAGTGAGATCAGTTGAAATGATCTCAAAAATCATAACAATTACCCCAATTAACACTCATGTATAAATGATTTAGTGCTCTCCCACTTAAATAACCCGCAAAGCAAGACAAGGCATGAAGCTGATTAAGTTAAGAGTGAATTGCCCTCCCTAATCTCATTTATTTGAGCATGTAAGCATTAATTATTGGACAGTTGTATTAAGCAATCAACAAGGATTATGTTTTGTCTTGAAAATGTCCTGATGAACTAAAAAGTGTCAGTTTATTGACAGTGGTTGTTGTAATCTATTTTCTCAGCAAAAAGGAATCTCTGATTTAAAAAAAAAATTACATGATGTAAACTTCTTATTCAGAAATTAAGTATACACTGTTCCTGTGATAACATTATTTTTAACTTTAATTGATCAAGTCTTTTTTTAGTAAATGCCTATTCATGATATTTCATTAATAGCTGACAAAGTACTTTTATGTTTTACCCCAAAGGAACCAGAGCCTTGCATTGGTTGCATGCAACATCCAGCAAACATTAAACTACAAAAGATGTGTGCATTGTCTGGAGAAGGAGAATGTGTCCCCTGTTATTGCAGGCCAATGTGGTGTATAGACTGTATGGGGAAGTGGTTTGCCAGTCGCCAGAACCAACAAGAGCCAGAAAGATGGTTGGCTAGTACCTCTCCTTGTCCAACATGCCGAGCAAAATTCTGTATGCTGGATGTGTGTTTTATTGCAAGATGACAGGCTAAGCCCTGCTTCATATTTTGGAATTGACTGACATGTTTGTTAGAAATTAATGGTTCTGTAGCCTAAATTGCATAGAATTGTTCAATTTTAAACATATCCTTACTCAGTAACTATTTCACAAAGATTTAACTTACAACACAATTTATGTCATGAAATGCAAAAGCTAAAGAAATAAAAAAAAAATTTAACATTCATGGGCATAGCTGATTGGGTTATACTTGAGAAGCCAGTGATTCTTTCCTCCCTCACTTTTTAAGATATGTCTTTTCCAAGTCAGTAGCATAAAAATACTATAATTTAGTTTTACATAAGATCCAAGATCCATAAGACATGAATATTTTTGAGTACTACATTTAGGTACTCCATTTGTCAGTCCTTCTTGCTACACAAAAGTGAGGCCATTGATACACTATGAGGGGCAGCTACTTCATGCAATGTGCATTGAAAATCAACTGTGAACCCCCCCCCCCCCCCCCCCCCCCCTCGTGAAAATCCTAGTTTTGCTTTTAATCCTCTGATCCCTAAGAGTAACCAACTTTACTCCTGAATCAAACATTAAGGTTACAAAAATTGCAAGAGATGATAATCAACTAAAGAAGTTCTAGATTGTTAAACAACTTCTCCCTGTTTGCATCTTGAGAATTGTATGGAGATCAGTAAGGAAAATATGCATATTAATTTAAAGGTGTAAAGGGTTGAATTTTCATGCCACCCATTATTTTTACTCCTGGGTGAGAGAGGCAGTTTGAGTGTTAAGCTTCTTCCCCAAAAACACATCACAATAATGCAAACAAGTCTCTAACCCAGACTTCTCAATAAGAAGTCCAGCAATCTAAACACTAGGCTGTGGTGTCACCCAAATAGAATCTGGGTTGGCTGCATGTATACAAAACCATGTTACCCATGGCATTTGGACAACAACTCATCTTGCTTTAAAGAACATACCTCAGGATTGATCTTGGACACATTTTAGTGACAGTTCAAACAACAGGAAATGGCTCAGAGGAAGTGGTGTCAAACTTGTCCTGGATGTGCTTACTTAGCGAGTTGCATTTGCTGAATAAGAGCCCCTAATCCTTCTGCTTTTCACCTACTGTGCAAATAACAACTTCTAAACTATTTAAACACATTAGAAATCAATGATCTGTGTGGATCATTGTGACTTCTTCCTGCCCGATCAAAGTGTTTCTTCAGAGAGTTGGACATGGGTTGAAGTAACAGAAAAAACACAAGTCTTTGACTGTTTTCTTTGACTCATACCAAACAGCTTTAAAATGTCTTTTAATATCAGGCTTTTGTGACTGCCTATAAGAACTTTTCTACATGTTCATGTATACGATGTAACACTTTGTAATGAAAACTTGTTTCACTATGAAGAACTAGTCAAGGGCGTTACCATGTTTGATCAGACTGCCTCTTTGACATGAAATGTGATGATTTGTAACAACAAACAACCATTTGAGCCTTCAATACCACTCTCTGATATTCTTGTTGAGACCTATAGGTTACAAAACTGTTCAGCTGACCTTTCTCGCTCTATAAACATTAATGTCTAATTCCTTATCATACAAAACGATTTCGTGGTGAAAGTGTTTGGACAGAAGTTTAAAAAACCGCATATCTCTGTCATAACGTAGTTTACATGACAGTAAGACAACAGAATTTCTGTCACACAGGTCTAGCAGAGTTTTCAAAAGATCAGGAAAAGTCTCTTCGATGTAAACTATGTCTGCACCTAAGATATATTCGAAAGGTGGCGAAAACGATGCTACATTTTGTCCCCATTCTAGTTCTTTTATCTCAACAGTCCTCTGGTCCTCGCCTAGGTTTCCCTCGACGTTCATTCTCGTTACATTCAGAGCCATTTTACGATCTGTTATAGTCACTTTGCCCCCTAAGAAACTTGCTACAATTCCTGCAACACCAGTCCCAGCTCCAAGTTCAATTACTTTCTTTCCTTGAAGTTCAGGGGCTTTCTTCTCCAAATATCGACCAAGGACAATTGCTGCATCCCAAACGACCGCCGCAACACCAACTTCATTCCAATTTTGGAAGACTGTCAAAGTTCTTCCTGCAAATTCGAAGCTTCTTTCTTTGGCTTGGAAAGGGGTTAGGAAAACTGATGACGGGTCGTACGGAACTATGGCCATTTGCGTGAAATTAGCCGGAGAACAGGGATTTGGAATAATGAAAAAACAAAATAATAACTGTATCATGCACGAAGTAGACCACGGTAATGTATGAATGTCGTAAAATACTGGCATAATACGTACGAAAGGAGATCAGTGGAAACGGAGCCAAGTCTTTGTGCGAGGGAGAACAAATTCGATCAGGCATACTTATCCTTATCAGTTCCAGTCTCCTCACATTCATTTTCTGCGAAATGGATTTAATTTCAGCAATGATGTGACGGAAATTACAGCTTGTGAAATAACAGTTGGGCTTTGGCTGTGCTACTTTATTCTCTGTCTTGTAACAACAAATCAGAGAAACCTACCGGGCCGTTTATGCCATGCGTTGCTGAGATACACGTGGTCAAATGGGATCCAAAGTAGATGCGAAAGTGGTTCTTCTGGGAAAGGAATTCAGTGGAAAAACCAGCTTAGTTGAAAGATATTTACACCAAAGATTCAACGATAGCGTTCCATATCAGAATGTAAGATTCTCCTAACAATTAAGGAATGTAAACAGCTCCATCTCTATCCCGTGATTCTGGTCAAGTGAAGCATTTGTGCCGTAACATGACCGACCTAAGAAACTATCATTGGCCATTTTCTTTATTGTCTACAAATAATACAGACTGTTACTCATAGTGGGGTGAAGTTAATTATCTCAAGAATTATGATAGTTGTACTGTACAATCGTACCGATTCTCTTCTAGTTCAAATGAAGGGATATTTAAAGAGAGAAAGCGGTTGTCTCCATTTTGTCTTGGCTAAGGGAGCTCGCTCTCTAGAAGTTAATTAATAACAAAGATGATTCGAGAGATCTAGTTTCCTGTCCGTAGTTTTCTGGGTAGTCAGATTTGTCAGGGTTGTCTTACTGTGGAGATTTGTGGAGTGTGGAAAGATGAGGTAGAAATGAAGCTGTTGGTATGATCTTGGTCATGTACATGAACTTTGATATATCACATTTTTAGCATTACATATGCTGAAACTAAATAACAGGGAGAATCGTAATAAAAATGTCTGCAATCTGGTCGCATTCATTTTATTTGTTAGTCTTCAGTCCTCTCTTCTTGCTCTCTCGTTTTTTTTCACCATATTAAGTGACTGGTTTGCACAAGTGATAAATATGTTAAGGTTTGTTTTGATGTTAGATTGAATCAGATCACAGATTTTATTCAAGGTGTGTCTCACCAGTGACAATATTTTTAACAGCAGAACTTTCCACAGCAACAATTTTTTGTTCATGATACCAAAGATTTGTTCAAATATCAAATGCTGCATATGCTGATGAAGACTAGCAGTCTGACAGTCACAATGTTGTGATCCTCAATTGACAGCTTGACCCTACAATTGTTGGTGACCTAAATTCTGAGAAAAATAATGTGACATTTGTTTATCATGTTATCAAGTAAAGCAATAATCCTTGTAGGTGAGCTGCAATTTCAGCAATTGCAGAAAAGAGACCTGAAAAAATTCAGACTTTGATGGGATTTGAACCCAAGCCTCCCAAATACTAATTAGGTGCTACTACCAGCTGAACTATGAAGCTACACATTGGTAGCTAGCAACATTTCTTCCAGTGGAAGAATCTGATCACAATTTGGTTTTTTATTCATTTGTTATTTATTTATTCATCTCATTAAAGTTGTGATAAGTTTGTTTTCATAGCAATTTTGAAGAAACACCTTGATTAAAACAAATTGTTTTCTTTATTTGCAACAGACTATAGGAGCAGCTTTTGGTGCCAAGAAAGTCACTGTGGGGAATAAATGTGTTACTTTAGGAATATGGGTGAGTTATTTATTTATTCTGCAATATAACTGTTCACCAATAGATCACAGATGATGGCAAAATGTGTTAAGAACAAGAGAGTGGCACAGGGGGTCTGTGATCATTTATTGAACATGTACACTGCAACATGATACTATTAGTTTGTGTATTAAAAAAGTGATTTCCAATGGATAATAATTCAAAGTGTGTTTAGTTATTCACAGCTAATTGTGTAATGAATAATTATCAGCAATTAAACCCATGTGAGCAGACATCTTTGGGACTCTCACAAATATCCATTTAATACAATGTGTCAGCCTAATTTGCTTAATGTGTAGTTAATTTTTCCCTTAATAGAACAGAGGTACTAACAAGTTACCTTTGAATCTGGCTGTTTAGATAAGAAAGAATAGAACTCAATAACAAGAAAAAATGTTTGCGAGTAGCTTCAATGTGAAAAAATAAAACTCCTTAGACAAAATTTCCTTCAGGATGTCTGGTAAAAATAGTTTCCTTTCATTTCTGTGTTTCCATCTGCTTGATGCAGCTGATGAGTAGTGACAAACCTAACAGGACTTTGTAAGCTAATATCAGGATGTTTTAGGAGGTTTGAAAATTTACAATTTTGTTAATCAAATTTCAGCATTATTTGTACTAATTAATTACCTTGCTGTTACAGGATACTGCTGGTTCTGAGCGGTATGAGGCTATGAGTAGGATCTACTATCGAGGAGCTAAGGCAGCAGTGTTATGTTATGGTAAGCACCTATCAGATCTTTTAACCATTTAGACCCTGAGAGTGACCAGCATCTAATTTTCCTGACAGAAATACTGCTGAATCATTCATTGAGATAGTAGGAATAAAGGAAATGATCACCAACTTAGAAAGCTCTGATTGTTAAACAAATTCTCCTTGTCAAAGGAAAGGAAATGAATAGAGAAGAGTTTGGAGGATATAGACACTGATCTTAGGGTGAAAGGGTAAAAGATAAGGGCAGTTTCTTTTATTCATTGCTTGTTGTAAATCTTAAGTCTGTATCTAAATACCTGAGTTAACTAGAAGGCTTTGAATTTTTTTTTTCTTTGCAGATCTCACAGAAAAGTCTAGTTTTGAACGAGCAAAGTACTGGGTGAATGAGCTAAAAACTTATGAAGATGTAAGTATCATTTTATTATATTTTTGAAAATACATTTGGCATACATTTGGTGATTGCTTTTGTATCAATGCTATCTATCCTGATTTGATATAAAGGAAACAACATTTGAAATTGTTTGAGAATGACATTAAGTGTGTTGCATGTATGTAATAAATGTGAGAGTGAATAGGGGTCTGACAATTTCCCAACACATACTGTGTCTGAACTCCCACTCTACTCTCTAGATCAGTCATTACTTAATATACAATTTTAAATCTAAGGGTTTGTGATGGTCATGAGGTGGCCTTGCAGTTAGCCTGCTGGGAGTGGTCAGTGTAACCCTGGGGGAGTGGGGATGGGAGAAGGGGAAAGTGTTGTGTTGAGTTCTTGAGCAAACCACTTAACTAAGGGATATGTGATTTTTTTTTTATTTTGTATGACTAATGCTTCCTACCTGTAGATAGCCTAAAGTTCTCAACATAAAATCTTACTATTTGCAGGGTTGCAGAATATATTTGTGTGGCACCAAGTATGACATGGTTCAAAATGACAAAAAACTACGGCAAGTCGATTACCATTCTGCAACAGATTATGCAGACGGTATGTAGTCATTCTACATTGTTGCACGTATTGAAGTTCAGTCTATTTCTACTGTATTCATCAATACCAAAGTTGAAATCTACTTTTTTTTATAGAAATAAATGCCAAAGTATTTGAAACTTCAAGTAAAACTGGCCACAATGTTGGTATGTATCTATAATGAACTTTGGGTAGTGAGGAGAGTGTATTTGGTGGAGTTAACCATTTCAGACCCAATATCTCATTAATAATTCTCATTTCTGTCTGGCATACAATTCCTATGATTTTAGTTTGGAGAATTTAGTATTGGATCAACTTATAATCCCCTACTTGAAATTTAACTCAGTTCTCATTACTTGCCTGCTTGGTAAAATATTGATATTGTAAGGAGTATTTCTTTCTTGGTCATATTCCTCAGAAATACATAATACGATTTCCCTTGAAATTCAAACTCTTCAAGTTCCCCTCTTTTTCACAGAAATTTGATATCCCATTTTCTGCTTTGGCCACAGACAATCTTAAACTATAATTCAGATTAACTATAACTCAATCCTGAATGTTTTATTTAAAACTATGGAATTGGAAACTAAATCCTTTGGAAGCATCATTTTAAATTCTTGTGGGTCAGATGTTTACCCCAGCCCTGTTTCTAGTAGCAAACAAGTTTCGAATAACTGCAAGAACTTGTGTATTAAATTTTTTTTCTGAAGCATCCCAGCAGCCAATGTCTTGAATCCTTGAATCCCAGAGGCTAATGTATACACTCTAATAAGTCCAGCAGCTTATGATATGGACCTTGGTCTGAAAATTTTTTTCAGACCAAGCAGAAACAAGCAAACCAGCAGATGAATATAAATAAGTTATTTACCACCCTAAGTCAGTCCTCATGGAAGTACAAGACCTCTGGCACAGTTTTCCCCATACTGACCTCCTGCCTGGCAAATAACATTTATTATGTAATAGTCAAATAATGACTTTGTACCAACAAAATTCATCTTCTAAGATGTAAATTCAACTTTCTTCAATTTCCTGGAAACACTTGACATTATCACAAAGTGTTTGAATGTTTGTTCTGGTGCTCTCTTTGCAGAGGAGCTGTTCTTTGAACTTGCCCAGGACTATTCAAAAGAAGAGTCAGAATTTGGTAAGTACTGTTGATGCACAGCAGTTGTGGGGAATATTCTTAAGTACCATTGAATGCTCCTCTAAATGTTACAATTATTATCATATGAAATTATTACAAAATCACCCTTGTATGGTTAGGTCCCCTAGAAAATTAGATGAAGTGGTTTTAATGGAAAATTGGTAGTAATGATACTTTTGAATGAAGAGAAAAAGATGTTTTTTAATCTTGTCATGAGGGTGAGACAGGGAAAAATTCTGAGCTTGCACAAGGAATCAAAATTCAGGCCTGGGGAATTCTGTTTCTGTATTTATGTCAAGAAGCCCTTATTGCTTATATGGCACCCTTAGATTCAGTGAATTTTTAGTCAGGGAATAAGGTATCTCTTCACTTTTGGGATAAAAAAATGGCCTTTTTATAGCTTGCAAAGCTTGGCACTTTTAAGTGCTCTAAAAGGATGATGGACAAAGCCACAAGATGATTAAAAAAGAATCCTGACATAATTGCCCCTTATGATTATAAACATACACATTTTTAGGGCACAAATCTGGCCATAAGTCCCAAAAATCAAGATTGTCTTATCATTACTGAAAGGTAGTGCTTAGCTCACATACATGCATCAAGTAAGGTTATGAGAAATAATGTTATGTTGTGTTATTGATAGCATTCAGAAAACTGAATGTTGAAACTCAAGAGACTTCTAGGCTTTTTTGATTCACTCTGTTGTGGCCAATTTCCTTTTTAACTGTATCTATTTTCTCTGCTCAAACAGTAGATGGTGAGGTGCCAACTCTAGAGTTGACAGAACATTCACAACCTGGAAGGATGACCTGCTGTGGTATAAAGTTGTGATGCAGCAAGTGAATGGCATAAACAAATTCTGTAGTTATTTTCTTAATTGGATCATCTTTAATAGTATTACTTAATATATATAGGAGTACAGTAGAAAAATCTTTTGTAAGAGCTGCTTTTATCATAGACCATCTGCCCCAAGCAATTTGTAGATATAAGACACCAGATGTGATATGAGGTGCTAAAAATTGTTTCTACTAACCCTTTACCTAAAAGAGTGGCTACCATCTAATTGTGAAACAAATTATCTCTGTCAGTACATTAGGAAATTTATAGAGAATAGTTTGGAGAGTGTGTGTGCTGATATAAGGAGGTAAATGGTTAAAAGGTATCCAAGTCTTTCTTGGACCATCTATCATGTCAAAACAAGATTTTTGCTGTCCCCATGAAGGACCTGAAGGTGATTTAGTTGATGCAAGGGTATGAATAAATTATTGGTCAGAATATATCAACACTTAGGGATGAAATGACATTCAGTGGGGTTTCAACATTTTTTTTTTTAAAGTAGTCAACTGTTCAGTGTTGTGGCACGTAGGGCATAAGTAGAACGAAAGATTGGGTAAATATTATCGATTGATGTATACAAGCAACCCAGAGAAGCCTTCTTTAGTTCACTGTTCACTCTAACCCCTGACCTTACACAAATCTGGCCATATCTGAGGGGGATGTATATCTTTGAGTAACTGAGCAATGATTTCTTCCATAATTCAGAAATTATGGCTTTAAATGTGATGTTATATGCGGCTTTTCCACCGTATGTTGAGTTAGACCATTATTTTATCGATATTCTATCAGAGACTTTACTAGCGGGTACATCAATTGTCTTGGGGGGAAAACCCTCAAAAGGTTTTATTTATTACTGCATATACTTTTCAGACACCACTTCACTTCACTTCACTTCACTTTTCAGTGAACACCTTATAAGAACTGAGCTTGGTATAAAACAACAAAAGAAAAAAACATCTTTAATGCATTATGTGTAAAATTATTTTATTAAGCTCTATGACAATGCAATGTTGGATTGTAGTGCCACTAATTTCATGACTCCTAACACGTGATTAAATGAAGTTTTAACATAAACTGGCATCAAAGGGTACATTGCTTTCCACACCGTCAATCAACGCTAAAAGGAACAGCTTCCCTACTGAAACAAATTTTAACGGACCATACCTTGTTATATTTTCCTATTCAGTGGGCCCCAGTCTTTTATCTTATAACCTTAGTTTTCAATCATTATTTATATCACTGCGAATCAACTTTGCTACCAACAACACTACCTGGAGATTTCCTTTCATTTATGATGTGATTAACAAAAGAAAAGCGACATGGTGGTATTTTTGATGTGAAGAAACAGTTAACGCTATAAGTAGAGACAGCTCAAAAAACAATTACCCAAACAGCCCCCTAACTTTTAGGACTTAATTTTCTGCGGTAGCCTCTAAGTCTAGATCTCTAGGTCTCTTTGGGAAATTGTAGTCACATGAGTTAAAAGGCTCGTATTCTCTCGTTCATCGATGAAGCATGGAGTCCTATTCTGGTACTTTGTAACGGCCCCTTAAATCTGGCGGTATGAACGTTACATTAATGTGTATTTTTGGATTGTACCTTCTGGCCTCATCGTAACACTTCTGAATGTCGGCTATTGTTGCCTTCTTTAAGGTTCGGAGTCGTGATTGGATATATCCCAGTAAGCGAAATCCATTTGCAAGATGGAGGTTGTTGTCCTCACTAGTCAGTCGCACGGCATAGTCGGCACAGTCTCTGGCTTCAGTGAGATAGGAAGAAAATTCATATCGTTCCTTTAAACTCCTAGCTCTTGTGTTCGTTGAAAATAAAGTGAGTTTACATTTTGCAAAATGGTAAGACAGATATGCATCTGTTTTGACCACACTGCCCATTGCCTGGATAAGCTGGTGCGCTTTCTGGTTGGCCACTAAGGTTAATTGTTGTTCAACATGCTCTTCTTTTAAAATGTCGACAGCAATTTTGGTCGCTTTTCTCAGATCCTCAGCGGTCGCACCTTCTTTTACAAGGCTTTTCACGATTTGGACACCCTTCTCTATGTCCAATGGGTTTTTAGACCATTCGTCAAGCTCTGATGCCAAAGCAGCCTTTCGTTCCAAGCGATCAGTGACAAATTCCTTGTACTTCTCAACGTTAGGATGATTCCTGTCATTATCGTGCAGCTCCATCAATTTCTGGAACAAGCTATCGCATCGAATTCCTGGATTTTTCTCTAGAAACTGTAAAAGTGATTCTACAGCCATTCTCTTCTCACCCCTCCCTTTAAGCGTGGTTGTTAATTGAAGAATTTCGCGCACCATGAAATTGGGATGTCTTGGCAATCGAACGCGAAAGTACGTTTCATCAAACAGGAATTCAGGCGTGAAATTTCCGTTTTGTTTCATTGAGCGGAAAATAGTTCTTACACCTGTCCCTTTCTCCTCAGCCAGCTTTTTACTCACAAGGAACTCGCCAATTCGTCTGTTCCTTGTCCTTACTGGAGGAAAATCACTGCCCTCTAAGAAGTGAGAAGGCTTAAGGCTTTGATGCGGACCAGGATAACTTATGATGTCTATGTGAGTGGTGTGAATACGCACTTTCACGGGATCGCAATGTTCTGATTCATATCCCCTGTGATAGAAGGCATTGACAACTGCCTCTCGAAGGGCTTTCTTGGGATATTGAACAAAAGATGGCGATTCTTCATCTTTGGTTTCCATCAAAATGAAATCTATTACCTCGCTGATCTGATGGTCAATCGGTCCCTTGATTTTCATGTCTTGTGTAACTTCACCGTCGGCATTGTATATCGTGATGTCTGTTTGTGCTCCTCTGAAGTACTCATCAGGAGTTTGACTAAAGAACAACAGAGACACATTTCGAGGAACTAATTTTTCGATTAGTTTGCCTTCTTTCTCTGTATGCGCGATCACCTTTACCAATTTCATATTTTTGTAAAGCTGTCTAGGATGAGCGAGATCTTGATGTTGGATATTACTCCCGATGTCTTTTAGGAATTTTTGCACGAGGTCTGAATCAATGTCGTCCTCAGACAGGTCTTTACCGCCGTCTGTAAAAACATGAAGAATCGATTTCTTTAATATTTAGATTTGGCTTCAGCTGAGCGTGACTTTCTGGTCCATGACTGAATTATAAGCATTAGTAAGTTTGATCAACTTCGATTTTCAGATACCTAACAGGTTATGTAACCGTGTACAAGATCTACATGCTCCTGGGTAGCCTCACTCCTTCATAGACCACTGACCCTGCACCCAGTCTTGTTATAAATAGTAAATTGTATCTTTACGGTGCGGAAGGAAAACGAAGCGAGAGCGCCACACTTAGAAACAAGAGCGGGCCTTAGAACTAGTTCACACAAAATAATCTAGACGAGGGCCAAGGAAGTATCGCCGTGCACATTGTGCACTGCAACTTACTTCTCATCGTGACCACAAGCGTATAAAACATAGCATCGTTATCAATCTAATTAGCTTTACCACAGGAATCGACCATTTAGGTCGCCATTTCCGCAATTTTCACTTATTGATAAGTCACGGAGTATCTGCTGAATACTATGGCATGCCAAAAATGACAAAAGTGGGTTGAGTTCATAATTATCTATCGAGTTTCAGTGATCGGTATGTGAGCGTTCACTTGGGGTAGAAGAGCACAGAACACGTCATCACAATGGAATGTGCTGCCCATAAAATCAATCAGCTTATCGGTAATCTTGCATAATTGCCATGATAATTTCTTTTTCTCACGCAACAATTTCTCATTCTCAACACCTAATATTTATTTTTCGGTATATTGCTATATCAGTCTTTTTCTCGATTAATGTGTTTTAATTGATAACAGTTTTTCATTCTCGCACAATGATTCCTATTTCTTATGTGGCGATTTCCCAATCTCACCATCGATCACTGAAACTCGGTGGATAATTTTGAACCCAACCCATTTTTGTTATGTTTGGCTTGCCATAGAATACGATGCTTGACGTACTCTCTAAACTCGCGGAAAGAGGGTTTCTATTGAATTATAAAGATAACAAACCAAGAGTGTTTTTTGCGTCATTGAACAATGAAAAAAATGAGCTGCAGCGAAGTATCGGGCGATGTTCCGAGGATGACAATGGCTCTGGGATCTGTCAGAATACTATTGTCACGAAATGATTGAGATGCTAGTGACCCAGCGGGCTGTGCGTGAGGTTGTAAGAGAGTTAGTTACTTGCTAATCACTTCCAAACAAGCCAATCAGGGCGAGCGAAACACACTATCATGTGTGTGGTATATTGTAACTCGCGACATCGGCATAGGGTAAAATATGGTCTAGATGATTAGACCCTTAGACTATTGGGCTATTTTTTGGACCATTAAATAGAACCATTTTTTTGGACCATCTTTTGGGACCTTTTTTGGACTGTTTTATTGGGGGGGAGGTAGACTATTAGTACTAAGGGAGGGGTGGAATGCAGTTTATCAATACTTTGGTAGAGGTGGGAGGTGGTCGTATTTGTAAATGCTACTGATTAATGGAGTTTTTAATGGATCATACAAAGCGTTGTAGTAAAATCGTTAAATCAAGTGAATAAACCATGACACACTAAGAAAGCGTGGTACAGCTTTCTTACGTTTTGGACATTAAAAAAAATTTTCCAGGTCATTCGGTTTGATTTTTGGGAACTTTTCTCTGGTAGCTTAGGAAAGAATAATGTTTGCAGAAAACCCGGTGAGACGCAGTACGTCTGAGCAGGCTATTGTTTTAGCTGGGGGATATTCAGTAACGTGCTGCGTTTAGACCAATCGCTCATGGCGAAAATGTTTTAAGGGCCATAAACGAAGTAATTTTTATTTATCATGAGATTCAAGCAAATCAAAGTAAGAAAAAAAAGAAGAAAAAGTTGCTTCCGGGCTGAAAACGAAACTGAACAGCATTTAATATTTAAATAGAATTGATATATTGGTGCGCCAGTGTGTCATACAATGAAGAAACGCGCAAGGGGAAAAGTTTGCTTCACTCTTGACGACCCTGTACGTGATTGAAAAGAATTAGCATTTACCCCCTAGAATGTTAATTTTTGGCGCTCTCAGCGAAAAGTTTGCTCTGTAAACTGCGTTTAAAGTTATTTCGGGTCATTCGATTTGATTTTCGGTAATCTTTCTTTGGTAGTTTAGGGAAGGATGTTGTTTGCAGCTAACTCAGTGAGACGCAGCACACACGAGCAGGCTATTATTTGTGTGCAGTTATTGACAGGTGAGGGAGTAGGCTGGTGGCATATGATAAGGCAGTTGGACAAAAGTAAAAGGACTGTAAAAGCGCTCGTGTGAGATCGGTTAATTGGAGCAGATCGTGTCTTTGGCGAGAGGGGCTGAAACACCGATTCAGAGGAAATAATTCTTATTCTTTCCACTAAGCTCTTGGCATTTTTCGGAGTATAGAAGAGCCTCGCAATAATCTCATTCTAAGTGAATACAAATCTGCATCAAAGGTTGGCGATATCGACAAGAAGTAATCAAAGCCTACTAGTACGCCTTGTATTTTGGTTTGCAACTAGTGGTGTCATGATTCTAAGTTTGCCTTTTAATTTTCTTAGCGTAATCTGAAATGTCCAAATATTGTCGTAATCGCACAACTTGGATCATGATTGTTGTTCATCTTAGTTGCCATAGGACACACTCTGTCCTGCTCGGACGCTAGCCATACAGCTCTGCTTTGGGAAACAGTGGAATTCTCGGGAAACAAAATAAGTAGTTGGAAGCGTAATAGTTATTTACCGCCTGATCTGAACCTGGTGTAGTATGTTTGGCGGCGTCACATCTTACTGGGTCTTGGTCTCCTGATCACAAAATGCAGATTGCTTTTTACCTCTTTTCTTTTAAATTTTTATTTCCCCAAAATATCGTCGGACCAATAAGTTATGAATACAGTAAAATCCCATTCAGCAAATTTTTCTTAATAATAACAGACTGATAGCAAACGAACCATATCGTCATAGACAACAAATATCAGAATACAACACGGAGAAAATTTCCATGCTCAAATAATTGCGTGTAAACTGGACAGTAGAATTCAGGAGAGCGATGAAAACGTTTGGCGCCGACAACTTCGTAACTTACGACAAGGTAAATAATTACCAAAAAACTCTTGATGCATTTAAGCCCAGCGCAAATAGCTCTAAAAGCCCACATTGTGCAATTTTTTTTGAGAGGACTCGATGATTACCGAAGAAACCCGCAGATCTCCGGAGACACTCCGAAGAGTCTTATCATTCTTCCTAGGGAATATATTTTTAGAAAATTTGTCTCTTAAAGTTGTAAAAACGCTTGTTAGGAATGGGGAGTTGGCCGGTTGGCGTGAACTAATGTGAAATCCAAGTCGTTGATCTTCAGTCGTGAGAATTGTCATGAAGCAGAGGATAGTTGGTGAGAGAGAGAAACTTCTACCGATGGGTTGGACGAAAGGCACCATCAAGGCTGCACCGATCAAAATAAATTTTCTGAATATTAAAGCAACTTGCAATCGCGCCTAAAACAGAAGGTATCCTGGTAGCATTGCGATTAAACACCCTGTAGAAGTTAAATTTCCACTATATAAACGAATGAAGTCAGCGGAAAATTTAAGCACTTCGTAGGTAATTCTACAAAGTTTTAGATAAAGAAGGAAAGTAACTTAAATTTCAGACGCAATTCAGTAAAACTTACTTGTAAATTATTCATCTCATCCAAAGTAACCTTTCATAATTCTCGTCAGAAAGTCTCACTACAGAAATCTGATTGGTGCGATGAACATAAAGTTGTCGTAACTTTGTGATTGGTACGGGCAACATACCGTGTGGCTGCGCCGTCTTTTAGGTGATAATGACGGCAGGTTCCTCAGGTCGGAAGATTTGTGGGACTTTTTCGTCCCTGTCGACACGCCCTTTGGTGAGTGTGCAAGCCGATCCTTGATCTGCACACACTGCCACACCTTTGGCATATAGCTCTTTGGTAAGCGCAAGCAACTTATTGGAATAAGTAGCTTGGAATTAAAGAGAATTATTAGAGTCATAGAAAAATATAGTTAAACTCTATACTTTGGTGATCTGATCCGTGCGAATAACAAAACTCCAATGTTGACATCTGACTGGGTCCGTATGGATTGTGCTAGCATACTTTTTGGCCCAGTTTCTTGTGCCTACATCACTCGTCTTTATCGCTATCGCGCCAATATTACTTATATTCCCAGTAATGCCCCAATAAGGAAGAATTCCCGGCGCTGCCCCTGCATAAACCGCTCCTAGTACGGCATTAAGTCCAGCAGAATCCAGTGGTAACAATGTTTTATAAAAGCAAGTATGCTTAATCAACAATAAAAATACATGATTTGGACTTGTTTTGTGTTTCTTTTTTAAAAAGCATACTTTAGGAAAAAGCAGCATAATTTTCCAAAACGAGCATAATTTTGAGCTTTATGTGGGAAAAATCGAGCACTACTATTAACATAATTAGTTACTTTCAAAAGTTCAATATATACAGGCCTACATCTGACACCTTCTCCATATCTGTACGAGTTTTATACTTCGGTGGGAAAACGACTTCCACACCAGGCGAGAAGACATACTGTAGACAATGATTGAATTTAATGAACAAATCAACTTTTCTTCACTGTCATTTATTGTATGCTTTTATTGCATGTGCTTTAGTGGCCAAACTCACCTAAAGATATTTTTTGATGACTTTAAATAATGAAACTGAGGTACCGATCTACTCTCTCCTGTACCTAAAGATATTTTTGCTTCCAGATGCCGGTGGAAAATTGTAAAGTAGGCGAAAGGAACAGTTCATGGTAGTGCTCATCAGGGTGCGCCTTAGTATGTACCTGCGTTCTAGGTCAGCGGAGACGATCGAAATATAGGGGCATCAGGCGGATGAAAATGTGATAGCTGTGTTTGAAAAAGAAACGAAACCACAGATGAGCTTTGCACAAGCCAATTTTTTTCTGGTAAGATAGATAAAATACTTTATGAACTAATACATTGCAGCCATAGCTGGCTGAATTACGTTCAGATTAATTAATCTGAATGTAATTCAGCCAGCTATGACTAAATAATATCGATAAGAGATATGACGATTTATATAAAAAAGAACATATAAAGTACATAAATAAGTTTAAATGAAATAAGAAAGCTAGAAATATGTACAATCCTTACGCTAAGCTCACGAGCAAACTTCCACGACTTCCTAAGCGAATAGTCGCAGATGTTCCCAGGTGGAAGGAGCTTTTGGAGAAAATGCTGCAAAACAGCGGTGACCTCGCAACTAACATTTTAGTGTCATTGCCTATCTCCAACGTGAAAAAATTTAAAACATTTCCAATGACGTGATTTTGATCAATCGATTTTTTGACCGCGTAGCCGTTGAAAGGAGTTTAAAAACTACTTTTAGAGCGTGGCGCAAAGTTTAAAAATAGTTTAAAAAAATATCTTCAAGTTCTCTCACTCATCCTCCCTTGCGACCATTCAATCCTTCGTTATGACATGACCCGTTCACATGACTAAGGAAACTTAATGAATATAATTGATTTCAATATAAAGCTGTCTCGAGAAACGTCGTGGAAAAGAAAAAGCATACAAGTGCACACAACAACGCCAAAGGTATTTTAAGTAGTTTTCAGGTCACGGTTCCTTAACTCAAGACTCATTATACGTACGAGGCACAACGGGTTTGATGATTTCATTATATTTATTTGTCTTATTAATTCTTTGATTACCAGATACCCAGGCTATCTTTCGAGATTTTCACGTGTAATTTTTTTCTGACAACTTTCGCCACTTTTCTCGAAAAAGCTGCATATTGAAATAGTGGCAAGCGTTGAAGGCGCGCTCTGATTGGCTACTCCGAATGCCCTTTGCTATTCACCTACGAACATCTCCCGTGGGACTTAAGCCCGAAAACATTGTAAACGCTGCAGGAATAAATGAGATAAAATAATATTTTTCGTTCTACATTATCTCACTGTTTTAGTATATAATAAGCAACCATTCACTAGAGTGGAGGTGATTAGGGGTGGATGTTACCACTGGCTGCCTCCTCTTCGGTGAAGAAATGTTAAGTAATTTAAGAGATACAGGCATCCATGAGAATACGAAGTGATAAATCAACAAAGTCTTGCGCTCGAGATCTCGTAATGATTTCAGGAGAATATTCCACGGTCCAGTACAGCTGGTCATTGATCGTAAATATTCCGTTTCCAGTGATAAAAGGAAACTTGGCACTTTGAACGGCAAAATACGCACCAGCAAACTTGTAGGGAGATTTTCCTTCTTGATCAATGGACAGAACTCCGAGGTTAGTCAAGTTGAATAGTTCTTTTCGTTGTCCATGCTTGGTTTCAGAACAAAATAAATTCCACAAGGATGGTAAGTTCACACATTGTATTAATTTTAAAAAGTTCATGTGCTCTCCTGAGTCGATCTTTCGGTGAACTTTGTTTGTACAAGTGCGCGAGAAATCCCAGAACTCCTCTGTTCCTTTCACTTCAATTTGAAGTGCATCGAACGTTGCATACAGCCCAAACTCTTCTCTTCCAAGTTTGGGTTCACATTGTTGTCGGATGTCAACAGTATAATTACTGTCAAACAATAACGGGGGTTTTTGTTCAGTTTGCTCCGGTTCAATAATTTGTTTCATGGCTAAGTGAGTTGCTGCAGTAATAGCGCCGTGCACTGTACAACCATTGGCCTTACAGCAACTTACTAAAGCCATTGTTTGTTCTTTAGTTAAGCATCGAGGTATTGCGTGCGTGGTCTGTGCCAGTGAATCACGAACATTGGGAGGAAACTTTAATAAATATAAATTTGCCATCTTGGGTTTGCGAATCATAGCGCTTAGCTTACTGCACCCCACGAGCAGTGGAATTAGCAATCTTTCCAAAATATTTGGTTTGGTTAGATTCAATGTCATGCGCTCCAGTGTTGGACGAAACGCTAGAGTTTCAACTTTCATGGCCTTCCCGTTGTACAGTGAGCCCAGGAATTGCAGCAGTTTGTTTTTAAATTCAAACACAGATCGGGCATCGCAAATGATATGATGGAAAGTAAATAACAACGCATTTTTGTAGAGAATTCCTTCACCTTCGCTTTCAGTAGTCTCCCTGAGTAGTGTTACACGCCATAAAGGCCCTTTCTCAGTGTTAAATGGTGCACAATTGATATGTTCGTTGAACGCACTCATCCAGTTTTCTGAGTCTATGTCCATTCTTGTTTGAAATTCCAAACTTTGCGGGTCCTCCATCTCTTCAAAACATTGCTGGAAGACATTATCGACAGTTATACGCATTCGTAGTAATGCAAATCGTTCGGACAACATAAGCAGAGCTGTTTTCAGATGCCCTGGATCAAGTTTTACTTTAGATTCCAGCAGGAGCACAGTGTTCAGGTAGCAAGTGCTGTATCCTGAGGCGATGATTGAGAAGTATCTTTCGAAGGAACCTAGTCGGCGAGAAATCTTTCCAGTACCCGTGTGAGAGATTTCGTCTTCATTCTGATTTTGGCTAGATAACTCGAAAGTTAGTTCGCTCCATCAAATAAGTTACTTCGCTCCATACATAAGTTACTTCGCTCCATGAAGAAAACTAACGTGGAAGGTTGATAAAAGACAGAAGGATAAGGGAAAAGAAAAGAAAGAGTATTGTAACGCGGCTAAAGACTCGCCATTTTTAACCGGAGTCGAACCCAGTCTCACTCACAAAGCAATATTTATAAATCATATTCATTGTTGGTCATTTCTTTTATTTTATTTGGTGGCTCCTAAAGGAGCCTTTTGTTTGTGATGGTTGTGGTGTCTGCTGCTCTTTAAACAGGACCGTTCAGGAAAGAACAGGCTTTCAGTAGCTGTCTGGCGGACCTCTCGTTGTTGTCATATTGCTCGGTAATTCGCTTTGGTGGCCTCAAGTTAGCGAATACGTCGATCAGCAACTCGATCGCAAGACGCAATACACATCATCAACTATAAACTATAAAGATCAGAAGTAAGTTAGTGTATTAGGTTTCTACATGGAGCGAAGTAACTTATGTATGGAGCAAAGTAACTTATTTGATGGAGCGAACTAACTTTCGAGTGGAGCGATCTGACTTCGGTATGGAGCGATCTGACTTGGAGCGATCTAACAATGGAGCGATCTAACCGGATACCGAATGCAACACATGCACGGGAAAACTTTTTAGTACTCTAGTAACTGTCTGCAATTGGAATCTCGTTTTATATGGCAAAGAAAAAAAATTGTTGATTATAACGTACACCATCTATGCTTCTGTCCTCCAGTAGATCATTACTGAGAATGCATATGTAGTTCAGATTATTATAAAGCTTAAAATCGTCTGTTCACCGACGAAAGACCTTTCAGTGTAGATCCAGCAACCACGCCTGCAACATCCTGCAGCTTCTGCCAATCCCATCAGCATAACCTGAAGAAGGCGACCTACTGATGCTATGCCTTGCTAAAGGGTAACCCGTGAATTTTGGCTAGATAACTTGTTCAATTCTTCTCTCAAATCGCTCTTTAGTCTCCATGATCCTTAAGGCCGTTACGCTATCTGCGAGCTGAGGACCTAGTGAGTGGATCACCACATCAAGGAACTAAGATGGAACCAGGCGCAGCGAAGGACCTCAGCTGATGGATAGATAGTTCCGCGGAAAAAGACTTTGAGGTTCGTTAAGCATGAACATAGAGTAGCTGTCACAAGCAAGAAAATATTGAACTCGACACATTAAGGTGAGATTTTTTATTACTTATTGCCTCCATTTGCGAAAAACGGCGTAAGAAGAGGAATATGGTTAGCTTGTATGTTTATATACCGAGTCTACAGAATCTCTACGCGTCCACCTTTGGTAGTCAACCAATTGCAAAGGAGTAATTGATAGAGGTATTGCAGTTTGCAGGATTGCAGTTTGGTTCGCTTGTTCGTTTATACACCGAGCTTAAAGAATGTCTACTCGTCTGTCTTTGGTAGTCAACCAATTGCAAGGAGGTAATTGACAGAGGTATTGCAGTTTGCAGGACTCGTGTGGTGCCGCACGGGGTCGTAGGGGACATTTCGACAAGGAATCCTGGGATCTACTGGGATCTGTCAGAAAGAAATAATGCGAGAAACTGGGAACTAGTGTTTTGGTTGTGGAGTATTACATTCGGGTTGAGAAGTTGCACAGTTTGCTCCAACAGATAATTATTTACTTTCTTTAGCATGAGAAATACAGCGAAGTCTTTGTTTCAAAAGGGGTTGGTTTCTTGTTGTTCGTCGTTGATTTTCTTCAATGCCGTCGAACCAGAGCGAGGCCAAGTGCGTCATAAATTTGAACACGTTGCCTGACGATGTCTTGTTGGCCATTTTACGTTTCTGTGATACAAAAAGCCTGTCGGTTTTGTCTCGTGTGAGCAGGAATCTGTGTCGTGTGGCGAAGGATGATTCCATCTGGAGAAGAATTGCTTTGCAGTGTGTTAATGTTCATTCCTCCGACAAAACGTAAGTTAAAAACAGATTGATAAGCCCCACACGGGTCCCCTCGGGGTACTTTGGTTGTAGCAGAGAACGTGGCTTGGGTCATGTACCGCCGTATTTCATCGAATTAACGCCCGGGCGCTTATTTTAAATTTTTGGCTAAAGGAGGGAAGGAGGGTGCTTAATCGAGGGGGGTGTTTATTGTTCCCTTGTTCTTAATCTACTGTAGTTTAAGCTTCAAGAGTTAAAAAGAAAGTGGCAATAGAAACAGGGTTTTCCTTGTATCCTTACTATTTAACCCTTTAACTCCCATGAGTGATAGGTAGTAATACTAGGAAGCACAGAATTTCTCCTTACAATATCAGTACAATATCAACTAGATAAGTGATGAGAATAAGGAAAAATATAAACTTGGGGATGATTAGTTCAATACTAAATTCCCTGAACTAACACTGTAAGAAATGTATGATTGACAATAAGGACAATGACAAATTTGATCTGGGAGTTAAAGGGTCGAGAGAGTGAAAGAGGAGGGTGGTGGTGGGGGGGGGGGGGCCTTATTCAAGAGGGGTGCTTATTTGACATTATGGCCTAGGGAAGAGACACTTATTCAATCATAGGGTAATTTAAATTTGTCAAGATTTTGGACATTTTAGGTCTTGATACTCCAGTCATATTGTGAGAAGTAAAGTATTTGTAGTAGATCTTCTAATGCATTGGATATCCCTTTAACTCCCAGAAGTAATCAATGTGAAACTTCTCCTAGTGATATCCTTATATAATCCAGCAAACTGCTAATGAGAATATTCAAATTTATCAGGTAAAAGTTGTCCTGATTAAACAACAACTTCTCATTACTAATTTAAAAGGATATGTCCAGCAACTAGATGAGAGAATTACCAATCAGATCTTCGGAGTTAAAAAGGGATATGAGTAAATATTAAAGATACTTGATTTGCATAATAAAATAAACCCTCTCTTGTACAGTGAATAAACTGCATGGGAACTACTAAGGTCAATTTTTGCTGGGTACATGCTTTTGACCTCTCAGAACTCCCACCCCTATTACAGTCTACTCTGTGGCCAATTATATACCCTTAAGTTAATAAGTTTTTAATTAGAAATCTTTCTTACCCAAATTTTCTTAGCTCAAAAATCCCCAAAAATGTGTGACCCATTCCAGTAACTCAATTGAAAATGCAAACCCAGTCATAACACATTCCAAATAGTGTATTTCTAAAAGGAACCTCCCTCCCCCCTGAGAAGAAAAATACAGCTCAAGTTATATGGAAGGAGTCACCCCATACCTTAAATTTTAAGGGCTGTCCAATTTCTCAAAAATTATGGGAATATAATTTGCAAGATATGAAATTTTTCTTAATGCTGATCAACATAAACATAACCTGGAGGTATTTTGGAATACATCCTCATTTGATCAGGGCTAAGGGGAGTGTTTTCAGTAATGGTAGTATAACTTCCAAATGCATTTATTTAGAAATTATTTGCCAGAAAGTGTATTTAAGGTCTTATAGCCATTGAATTTAGCTACAGAAGTGGCCACTGTTTATCACAGTGACTTCAATCATCATCTTGTTTCCTGAGTGTTTTAATAATAACCATAACTTGAATTATGTATCAGGGGCCTTCTAAGCTGGAAAGAGCTTTGTAGAGTCTCATGGAACTGGACACATGGATATTGTAAAGACAGATTTATAATCAGGTTTAAATGCAAGTAAGTTCATACCTTTTTGTCAAAATTTTTGAAGAAACTGTGGTTCTGCATTGATGAAGATCATTTCAAGATAATTTGGTTTTGTCAACTGAGTTTTAAATTGTTTACTGTACCAGCTTTAGAAACTCTTTATGTGCTGGCCAATTTACTTTATCAACTCAGTCGATAAAACCAAATTATTTTGTCTGAGCAAAAGTCAAGGACTCTTCTGTACCATAAAACCCTAATAAATTTTAGCCCTATCTTATGCTCATACAGGGTGAATCAAAATAAAAAATTGATTTTTATCCAGAAGTAATGCTTCATGTCTATCAAGCAATTTACTTCACGCAATGTTCTCTTTAACCCTTTGCACTTCGACATGGGTATCTATATTCTCAATACTGTTCTTAAAACATCATTCTATTTACATGTATATGGAGCTGACATGGAGAATTTGTTTTCCTATCAAGAGAATCTCTAATTGGTGATCCGTTTCTCTGCTCTCATGACCTTCATTGTTTGATTCAGCAGTAAAACTGTAAGGAGAAATTAGATGGCAATCTCTCCTTAGGTGAAAGTGTTAAGTGGGTGAATCGTTTAAAATTTTTGATTAGTTCTATATCCATTAATTGGATGGATGCATTTTGAAATTATCACCCGTATGATAATTTTTTTCCTTGCAGCCAATCAAAATGAGCACTTAGAGAGCAGAGTTTCTTGTTTAATTTTTTTACACAACTGGATGTAATTGTTGAAAATTAAGCCTCTATTAACTCAAACATCAGTATGCATATTCTCCATGCAGTAACCTTGCATTTCCAAGGGTACTGACAAGGATGTTTTTTTAACCATCAAGAGCTTCTTTAGTTGGTGATCATTTCCCCGTATTCTTGTGGCCTTAATGCTTGATTCAGGGGAGATGTTGAAAGAAGAAATTAGAAGCTTGTCACTCTTGGGCATCAATGGGTTCACAATGGACATGAACAGTTTAAACGCACCTAAAATACTCTTTTGTCATTTTTAGCCTTATGCCGTGGATTCAACTTGGAAGACATCGTGAACTCTTTGTTGCCCGAGCTGCTGATGTTATCTTGTATCAGATAAGGAAACACAGTAAGGGAGGACATTTTTCATGGAAACCTTTGATGACCTTTGGTGGTCACCAGGGTGATATCAGTAAGTTTGTGATAACTGGAGGGCAGTTGTTAACCTGTGGTATGGACAAGTCAGTCCGCACATGGAATCTGGAAACAGGAATATGTAATGGCCTATACCTTGGGCATACTGGACAAGTTCACAGTGTAGACTGTTTCAGAGAAGTAATTGTTTCAGGATCCAGAGACAAAACCATCAAGGTTTGTATCTTAAGTGTAGTTTTGAACTAGCACAGATGAAACACTCTGGCTTGGCTGAAGCATGTAATTACCAGTAATATGCATTGATTAAAAAAAATTCAAATTCTGTTACAACTGTCATGTTATCTTTTAATTATAAAGATGATACCTTTTAACTCCTATGAGTGACCAAGAAAGAATTTCCTGTTACAATATCAGCACAACATCAAGCAGACAAGTGGTGAGAAAAAAGAAAATAACAATTGGGGGTTATTAGTTGATCCAATTCCAATATTTCGTCGATTCCCCTGAACTAACTTCAAAATTGTATAGCAGGCAGTAAGGAGCTGAATTACTGAATGATGTGTTTTTGATAGTGAAAGTGTTAACCCTTCAACTCCCAAGATCTGATTGTTAATTCTCCCCTTTAACTACTACACATTTCCTTGTAAATTGATTACAAGAATTTGGTGTTTGATCAGGATAATATCTTGTACCTGATAAGTTTTAGTATTCTCACCACCTGTTTGCTGGGTAATGTATGGATACTTTAGGGAGAAGTTACAGGGTTAAGGGTCAAGATGTCCGGTAGTGAAGCTAGAACAGGCTGCGGCTCAAAAACATGCTGGAACTCATATTCTTTCCTCATTTCTTAGTATTAAAAGGCACAGTTGTTTGATCTAAATCTCCCTTTTCTTTCCCTATTTTTTTGGATAGTGGAGAAAGACACAGTTTAACACTCATAATCCAATCCTCCAAGCCATGTTTTTGTAAATTATCTAAAAGAAGACCTTTTGACTCATTTAGGTATGGTGCCAGCAAACCCAATCTTGTGTTCACACCATTGACATTCAGGATAATGTTTGGACAGTGTCCCTTAATCCAAGCACCAGGTATTTTCCAACACTATTAACAATTTAACAGAGTTCCTCTTTTTAATTGAAATGTATCAAATTGAGATTAATATGTATTTGGTAAACTTAGCCAAGAACTGAGTCACCTAAGCCCTGCTGATAATCATTGACAAGTTTTTTGGCTGTCTTTTTACATTAAAAGAATATTGCATACAATACATGTACAATTGGTAATCCTGGATCTTCTGGGTCTTTGAGATACAAGGTGAATCTCCAAGTCTTCTTAATGACTCCTTTAAACTTTTTGATAAATCTTGGTTCTTTAAGAATTTAACATTTTCTGTCACACCAGCCTATCTTTCATATCTAAGAGTGATTTTGTAAGTAGAATAAGAGAGATGGAATTTTTTTTTTTCTTATACGAACTTTGTAATGGGCCTTGCTCACCATAGAGTCTCTGACTGGCTAAGTGGTAGAGCATCTGCATGCAGAATCCTAAGGTCTGAGCTTTGATTCCTCATGGCGACTCAGAATTTTTTCTTTGTCCCACACTCATGACAAGATGAAAAAACCTCTCTTACTATTTCTTTACTGAGCTCAAAACCTACCATCTTTCTTATTCTCTTTACAAATAGAATAAGAATATTTTAAGACAATGCTATTGACATTGCTGATCTTAGCAGTATGCTGTACTGTATGCTTGTCATATGTGAATTTTGTAATGGGCTTTGCCTGTAGAGTCTCTGTGGCTTGGTGGTAGAGCATTGGAGCATGGATTCCAAAGATCTGAGGTTCAATTCCTCATGGGGATTAAAAATTTTTCTTTGTCCCACACTCATGACAAGGCCAAAAAAAAAGTAATTTTATTTGAAGTTTCTTTTGCATGTCTATAGTGTTAGAAACCACCAGACAGATCTGTGGGGTATTGAACTTTAAGTTGACTTTTAAAGAGAGATTTCTACAGCAGGCGTTTAAAAGGTGTTACTTTTCAGTTCTTTAAAGAACACATTTTAACTAGTTGTCATCAAAAAACCCAAACTGAAGTAATCACATCAACCTATCATAGCATGGTGAAAAAAAAAACAAAAACAACTGCTCACAGATCTGCAAAAACTGGCTCATTAAGTTTTCTTACACAGTCACAAAATAATGTAAAGCAATACATATTAAAAGCACACCAATTCTGGACTAATTTTGATGCTCAATTTGCTTTATCAGGTGTGTAGCGAGTGGAAGCAGTGGTCATACTAGAGACAGTGCACCTTTTCAGTTGTGGGATATCAACAGGTGAGCTGACTCCTAGCATGATTATTTTGACTGAATTTTTTAAGTTAAGTGTCATTTTGAATTCTTCATCCTAAAGCCCTCTAAGGAATTGTTTTACTCAACCCTCTAACTCCCAAGATTCGATTGTCAACTCTCCCTTATAGTTGCTACGTGTTTCCTTATAAATTATTTGATCAAGATAAGAACTCCTACCTGACAAGTTTGAATATTCTCATTACCTGTCTGTTGAATAATGCAAGGATATTACAGGAAGAAGTTACATGTTAATCACCTTTGGGAATTAAAGAGTTAAGAAATCTGTATAGTTTTGGAGATTTATATTGGAATCGCCATTATTTAATACCCAAGCCTCACTTCTAAGGTGTAGTCCTGTGAATTTTCATTATTTTTAAAAATTACAAAATTAATGCATGACAGTGAAAAATGTAGTGTAAACAATGAAAGGTTAAATTTTCAGCTAGTGAGTACAGATGCAATCATGCTTAAGGGTAATGTTTCAGGCAAAAGCAAAATATAATAATTTAATTAACTAGGTACATGTACATGCACATGTATCTTTTATGCCCTAAACTATACCGCATTCTGGTAAATGCTACAAAAAATGGACGTACCAAAATGTTTGACTAATCTATAATTAGAGTAAGGATTGTATGATTTCTGAGAGAAGAAACATCGCAGACATTTTATCTGTATGAAGACTCTCAGAAGATCAACTTTAATTCATACAAGTTAAAGATTGGAGCTGCTAATATTTGCACTAGTGTCAGAAGGGCTCAGAGCTCTGACTGAAGGTGGTCTGTTTTATGATGTGTTGACATGAAGACTTAAACATTTTTGCAGTGGAAGGCACATTATGAACCTGGTGACAGGATCGACACAAGCAGGAGCTGGGGTGCGTGGAATCAAGTGGGAAACTCCCTTTACACTACTGTCCTGCGGATATGATACAACTGTTAGACTGTGGGATACCAGACTTCATAACCACAGGTTGATACTTGTCATTCTTTTCATGCCTTAATTTTCTAACATTGAAATATAGGTCCATCCTGGCTTCCTTTTTAAGCCTGTGGGCTCTTTATCTTTTGCAGCTTTTGCAATGCCCTTAATGTGCCCCTCTTCCACCCCCCCCCCCCCCCCATTTAAGGCTACGTAAGGTGCTTAAATACTCCTTTCAATTTCCTGTAATATTCAATCAGTGGGTGGTCCATACTTTTAAGGGTTGCCTCCTTTAGTTGTCCAATTGCAGCTTTTGCTGTATTAGAGGCATTTGATAAGTTGATAGGCTTGACACACAACTAGTTCATTAGTTTCTTTATCTTAACATTTTCTGTGACATCAGAAGTGTCATTCCTTCCTGGCTTGTTTTAACTTTTTTAATGGTGCAATGCTTATACAAATGCTACCAACAATGTGAGAAACTACCTCTGCAAACAAGAAAGAGTCCATGATCAGATGGTGCGTATCATGGTGTCCTAATGAATTAAAGTATGAAAAGCCTTGCACAAGCCATTTCTGATTGACTTGTCATTATGCTGATGTTTCCATTGTTTTATTAAGTGCTTCATCATGTGTACTGAAGTGGGAAGACCCTCATGATTCAGTGGTTTACTGTATTGATTCTGATAAAAAGTGGATGGTGATCAGTGGAACCAACCGATATGGAGTGGTAAGGGAAATTTGTATTACTTTGAGGGTGAATGGCTTTTGGAGCTAAATATTTTCATGAATGAATCTTGACCAACTTTTATTTTATTTTTTTTTTTACTTGTGGCTTCTTTCAAAACTGTTTTCCCAAAGTTTAACAGTTAGTTATTACTGAAAGTCTGTTGTTACAGTTCTTGAGGTTAAGATTTATTAACCTTAAACCGTAAACTCTCGTTAGTGATCAAGAGAGAATTTCTCCTTACAATACCAATTCAACACCAAGCAAACAAGTGATGAAAATACAGCAAATTTCAATTAGGGGATTATCAGTTGATCCAATACTAAATTCTCCAAACTAGCATTATACAAATTGTATGGTAGACATTATAGAGAATAACTTAAAGGTAATTTGGTATTATCAAATGAGTTGATAATGTTCATCAGCAACCATTAAGAGTTTAAGAGCTGATGTTTTGAGTTTTAGCTCTTTAGCTATTTGCTCTGATAAATGGCTATTGCTCAAAACTTCAGCTTTTAAACTCTTTATGGTGGCCAATTTATATTATCAACTCAGTTGATAATACCAAATCACCCCGTTATACTCTCCCACCAATGTAACACTACAGTTTCTTACGAAATTTACCCTCTTTAATAAGGAGAATAATGAGATCTTGGGAGTGAAAGGGATAACCCCTTGAATCAAGGTGTTTTTATTGCCCCTCCCATTGTCCTGAACTTGAAATGAATTCTCTTCCCCTTCTTCTGTAGTTTAGTACATAAGGAAGAATTGATTTTGCACATTAATTATTTCATATGATAATCATAATTCTTTGAGCTTGTTAACTTTTTAGGTTTTGGAATAGTAACCACAATAACCATATGCTACTCATTATCAGTGTTGTGGTATAGAATTATTTTACTGCATGCAACAGCAGTAAAGCACAGAGTGTATTCTTTTTATGGTTTGCAAAAATATACCCTGTATTACTAACTGAAGGGATCAAGTCCTGCTTTCTTTCTATTTTAACAGTTTAAATCTAGTTGAAGAGTCTTTTCCTTGTCAGTCTGGGCCCAATTGTATAAAGGTCAGATAACGCTGTCCAACAGATAAATTGCTATCTGGTGGATAAGTGATAGCAAAATGTACTACCACCAGATAGAGATTTATCCAGTGGATAGCTATCCAACCTTCAAACAACTGGGGCCTGAAGTTTATTTAGAACTAATGAAAGTGTAAAACATAAGGTAGAACATACAATCATGTATGTGTGCAATAAAAATGTGCAGGTTTTTTCTTGGTTTACTGATAATTGTTCAGATCATTTAGATACTGTTTTCCATAATCTTTCAACAAAAATAACAACAATAACAAAGGAAAACAAACCAACAACCAAAACAAACTACCAGAAAAAAAGGAAAAAAAGGGAAGAGTAAAATCAAACCGGATGAGGAATTTTAGAAAAAGGAAAACTTGATCCATAGCATATGTAATGATCAGCTCTCGTTTGTGTGAGGAAAATCTTACCTAATTTTTTTTTTTGTGGTATGTTTAGGTCAGGATTTGGGACAAAAGGTTTAAAAAGTGCCTTCAGGTATGAGTCCATATTCTTTGCAGCATAAATTGTTATCATGTCATTTACACACTATCCCATTTTGTAGAGACCCAGGTTTTGAAATACCTCTTTTTTTGGCCTGGGTCATTGTATCGGCTGACTGTCTGTTGGAGTTAGTTAAAACAATTATCCATGGTTTTTTACTTTGAATGTCAGAAATTACCGAAGGTTTCTTGAAAAATGTGAAAAAATTGCTGATATTCTTAATCTTGGTGGGTGGTGTGCAGAATTGTGGTACAAGAAATTATGGTTGAAGCCTTGTAGTAGGTGATTTTTTTTAACTTATATTTTAGCAGTGCCATCTTTCTATCTAGAGGTGTAAATGATTATTAGCTAAGTGTTAGTGAATTTTACGAAATGACAAATGTTTAGGAGTTTCTTGGAAGATCAATTATGATACATATGATTCCGGCATGTTAGACTTTCTTTCAAATTCTGTATAATATCCATACTGTTTGTATATGTAATCACATTGGAAGATCAATTATGATACATATGATTCCAGCATGTTAGACTTTCTTTCAAATTCTGTATAATATCCATACTGTTAATGATAAATGCCTATTAATTTTACAGATGTATTATGCTGGCAGAAACTCATCCAGTCCAGTGTACTCACTGTCATTTAATAGAACATCACTCTATGTTGCTTTAGCCAGTGGTATTCGAATGTTGGATTTCACTGTATGAGTGAGTGGATTTTAGGTGTGATATTACATGGGGCTAAATGTACCAGTACATGCTGAATTCTTCATGCAGTTTGAGTGGCTTGTACCTAAAAGATGTTAAGATATGTTTGTTAATGATGACTGTTGTTTGTCTCCTCTATATTGCCTGTATCTGTTGAGTAATAGATCACAGTGATACTGATGTGCAACACTCATGTGCCAGATTTTCTTGTTATCCTTTGATGTACTCTGTCATCTATTTTGGTACAGAACCATGGCAACAAAAAATATAATTTTTCGTGTATGTATAGAAACACAGAATGTGTTATTGTGTGGTCAGATTGACAGCCAGTGTGATCACCCTTCACTACATGTACATATGAGTAAATATTTTGCTACCCTGTACACTACATTGTAGAGGGCCATCACTTATTTCTTGACTTGCTATAAGGTAATTGAGTTAGAGATTTTTTGTGAGTTAGAGTCACAAAACAGTCAAGAAAACAGCATGATGGTAGAGTGTTAAACTGTAAAACCTTCGCAAACAAAGCTGTCAATAAAAAAAATCATCATTAAGCCAGTTTCTGACTCAGATTTCATTTCTGTGGTCCAGCCAATGTTGTTTATAGTCTTTGTTTCATGTGGAAAGGGTGCAAGTGAAGAGGGTGAAGGGAGGGTAGGAAGAGTGGGTATTAAGGTGAAGAAAATAACTTTTCATTTTGATTCCTTTAAGTCCTCACTCATCACTCAGTTTATCTCTAGTAGCTGTTTTATTCATTTTCGTTGCATATGGAACACTGCAAAATCTTAAAAATTTGATATGTGTTCGGTCTTAATGGTCCATATTGCCTCAGTGTATTTTTGACATTCTGGGGGGGGGGGTTTAAAACATTTAGTGTAAATGTACAATCATACTAAGTATTTATCAATAAAGCTTCTTAAATACTTTATGATAATTTGCTGTATAGAAGCCATACATACATTGGAAGTGGAATGCTGGATGAACAGTCAGTCAAATCCCACTGAAAACAGAAGGGCTTCTTTGTTGTAATTTCATTTGCAGACAACTTTTGACAAGTAAACTCTTTGGTTGGCTTATGGCCACAGTCTTTACTCTAAATGTTGAACTCGGTTACCACCCAAAAGAGGTGTCAGAAACTGGACTCTCGAAGCTGGGCGACGATGGCACGTATTGGGACTGGTACTCTAGTGGAATGAATACCCGACTGATCTTGATTTTTGGATTGTATTTTCGAGCTTTGTCATAGAAAGCGGTGATCGTTGCTACTGTTGATTTTTTAATCAGGTACAGCTGAGAATGAATGTAGCCAAGCTGTCGATACTGCATTGCTAGGTAATGCTTGTATTCTTCATTTGTGAGCTGGACGGCCTTGTTGACGTAGTCCTCTGCTTCTTTTAGGTAGGGCATGAGATCCTTGCGATGTCTGTCTGCTTGTCTATCTCGATGTTTTTCGTGTTGTTTATCACGAAATTTATCGGTTTGATTTATCGTGTTTATATATAGATCAAATTTGCAACAAGCAAACTGAAATGCTACGTAAGAATTTGTTTGAGTAACATCACCCATTGCCTCGAACAACTTGTGTGCATTTTGGATGGACTCCAAAACGGATCTTCCATCTTCACTTCGCTCTTGACATAAAGAAACTGCTTTGGAAATAGCAGACTGTAGATCCTCGTTGGTCGCTCCTTTTTGCACTAGTTCCTTAACGATAGAAACCCCGATGGAAATATCTGGCATTTCATCGGCAACACACCACTGGCACAGCTCCGAGATAAGTGGAATGCGAAACTTCAGTTTCTCAGAGATGAATCTTTCATATGGTTGCACATCTTGATGGTTGATGTCATTATCATACAGCTCCAGCAATTTACAAATCAACATGTCAGAACAAAGGACTGGGTTCTCATTTTGAAGATGGCCATCAAGAATTCCCATCAGAAGTTTCACAGCATCATCTTTCTCGCCCTTTGCACAAAGGGTGTTCACATCTCTTAGAATCGAGTAAGCTGTGTGCTTTGGGTGCCCGGGAAGGCAGACGCGAAAGTATGCTGAATTAAAGTCAAATGATGGCTCGGGATTTTTGTTCTGCTTCATCGATTTGAAAATTGTTCTTACCCCAGTAAAACGTGCCTCAGCCATTTTTCTCTCCTTAAGGAACTCAGCAATCCTTCTGTTCCTTGATGGTACCTCTGGTACTTTACTGCCTTCCGTAAAATGCTCCTTTGTAAGAGTTGGGCTAGGACCTGGGTAACTTATAACATCAATGCAATCTGGCTTGATGTGGATTTTGATTGGGTCACAGTTGCAGTCTTCATACCCTCTGTGATGAAAGGCATTTACGACTGCTTCACGAAGAGCCCTTTCTGGATATGCCACAAATTCATAACGAGCATCTTCTTTTGTTCTCTTCAAAATAAATGACAGCACTGTTTCAATCTGTTGATCAATTGGTCCTGTGACCGGCACTTCGTCTGTCACATCATCATGGCTGTAGATAGCAATCTCAGTTCTTGCCCCTCTTAAGAACTCATGAGGGGTAGGGTGGAAGAATAGTAGGGCTACATTCCTTGGTACCCAGACTGGAAGAAGCTGGTCGCCATCTCTTTTATCCCCAATGCGTCGCAGTATTCTCATTCGCTTGTAAAACTCAATTGGGTCGTTGTCGTTATGTTCAAGCAATTTAGACTGCACGTCCGTCAAAAACCTCTTAACAAGGTTGAAGTCTATGTCCTCTTCAGACAGCTGCCTTCCGCTTTCTGTCAGAAATATAGCATGATTTAGAAAGTTGACTAAAGCAGTGTTACAAATGGTGAAATCTATCAGTATGAGATAATATGGATTTTGTGTGTAAAGGTTTGTTTAGAATGAAATAGTTTTTATCCGCATTTTTGAGATGGGGGGATTTTGTCACGTTTTCACAGAAGAAAAGTGAATTCTGTCTTGACAGACTGAGTGTTACTCATCCAGTAAAATGCAACTTCAAAAACGGTGATTCAGTAGTTAAGCTTTGTTTTTAACTATTATGCGAGCTACAGCAGAACTAACATTTGCAAAAACAGTTGTACAGCTTTTCCTTCATGTGGATGATATTTTGTTGTACTGATTATTTATATGTCTACCGGGATAACAGGTAAAAGTAAAGCTAAATTCGACGACTTAGACTGAAACCTAGCTAAGGTTATTTACACACCGGCGCGGTTAACTTTTGAGAATACACTAGGCTTTCGCGTGCTTTACTCAATATCAATGGGGAGGACTGAGCAGTTGAAAACGCATGTTATGTGGTATTTTGAAATCTACCTAGTTCCCCTTCTCTAAATCCATTCTTCTGAAAAAACAGACGACACACAATTTGCATTTACGCTTTTGTGTATCGGAAGTATTGCACGTGCGTTTTGGCGGTTAAATATTCCAATTGATTATGATGATGTCTGTGTATTTCCATTAGCGGGTCCTCAGAAAAATGTTTTATGAAATCGCGTGAGAGGGCCTACAAAAATAAACTCACTACTATAATCAAATTCGATAAATTTCTTACCATAATCAATTGCTCTCCTGTCATCAAATGGAATCTTATTTCCTTGGCGCAATAGTTCCGCGATTTGTTCTTGAGTTGCCTTCTTGGTTTCTGTTCCTTGCCTCACATAATAAAGGTCCCTTCCTTTATCGCTTTCTTTGCTTGTGTGAGGCTTGTTGTCGGAAGCCATGGCCCAGATAACCAGCACGTGCTTTCGAATTCCACCTGGGACTTGAACCACTTCAGGCGAGAGTATAGGGAGATATTCTGGCTTTATTTGGGCCCGGCAAGCTCCAAGTATCTCCCTCTGTATGCGCTCAAGATCTTTTGCAGGAACACCGACCGGTGGAAAATTTACTTGACGATCGTCTGAGTCTTCCCAGCTTTCCTTCTCATCGACCCCGATAATGATGTATCCGCCATTGTCATTAAAGAAGTCGTTGGCGTAGGCGCAAATTGTATGAACGACTTGCCAGTACGTGCCTCCTTCTCGTTTTCCATGCCACGCTCTCTTAAACTCAACTCTTTGTTTCTCAACGCCTTGTAGATACAGCAGATCGTTTACATTTATTAATAAACTTGAAGCGTTCCTAGCCATCTTTGCTGTGTCTTCTCTGAAAGAAGGCGAGGAATTATGTTAATTTCCAGATGTCACGAGATAATTGTTGATAAAAATCACGCGATTCATTAATTCCCCCGGGGATACGGCAGTGTTGAATATCCGGTTTTTAACTCTTAGATACGCGTAGAAATGAGTTGTTGTGGGTACTTTGGGATATGCAAATTGGCGTGGACTCTTCGCAATTAGTCGGAATTAGTCGTAATTTGTGGGCTCCGAACTCGAGATCTATCCTTCCGAAGAAGTCCGAAATCCTGGCGCTATTGTGACTCCATCGATCGTTGCGATGATGTGAGGGGGTGAGGGTTAAAATTCCTAGAGATAGGCTAACAATGTGCCGCCGAAGGATAGGGTCGCATTTTCACGACTGCATTGACTTTTATGGCGTTGCAATTTCAGCTATTTTCAATAGAGTTTCTTGAATGGGGCTACACATTTTTGAGATTTTAGGCGTAAAAAAAAAATATGGCAACTAAGGATTCACAAACAGGAAGATTCATGGTAAGAAAGTTGTTACCATATTTTAAAAATTAATAAACGGCTCCCATTTCATTCCGGTCTTGCCCGAAAGCGGAAAATGATGGGGTCTGTTACTGACCACAACATGGGCTACAATACGGCAGAGGGGGAGGGAGGGGGGGGGGGTTTCCATCACACGCTCAAGTACCATAATTTCTATACTTGCAGTGGTTCTACTTTGTATCTTTCGTTTAACACCTAGTTTACTGATAGTAACTTTACAAGAAAATATCTCTACTCGAGTTGGCCACAGGCGCCCTTTGATTGTTTTTACAAGTATTTGTGGAATGTGCCGTAAGGACAAGTAAGCTTGCGGTTCTCATGTAATCGCCCACATCGTTTGCAATCATCGAAAAAGCTGGAGGCGATCCAAGCGATTGGAAGCGATGTGGGGGTTATCATGGGATCGCTACGATCGTCTAGTAAGAGCAAAGCGCGCGGTCAAGGCCTAGGCCCGACAACAATCATTTTGCGCCAGATTTCACAAAATGGCGACCTTCGGGTCATCCAGGCCAAACTTTTTTCCATATCTTTCCAACTGTTGAACCGAATACACTTATATTTAGAAGCATTCGAAAATTTGTTCTATATACACTCGTATTTTTGGACTTCTTCCATGGACAGGTTGTGCTTTAACTCTAACAGAGAATCTGGTTTTATCAGCTGCCTTGTTAATGTGAATTAACCACCATAGAAAGTGGGGGCGCGGGACAGGGGGGTCAGAGTCTCCCGCTTCTCGTACCACGTTCTCCCGCCTCCTGTTCTTTTGTGCCACTTTTCCTCCCGACTCCCGCCCTTCATTGTGTTGCTCCCGTCTTCAGGTTAATCAAGAGGATCAGAAACCCGGGTTTTAACTTTCAAACTGTGCCGTGACTTAATATTCTTGTTCATTTTCTGGTCTTTGTTTTGGCGGGGGGATCATTGGTTCCCGATGAAAGTTACTACAGGTCAGTTTTCTTAATTAAACTAAGTTTCACTAACCGGGTTATCACAGTTTGACCATCGCTTCTGACGTCTCGTTATAGAGACAAAAGTCTCAGTTCACTTGTAATGTAATAGCTATTGCCATTTTAAAATCAAATAAAAAAAAATCAAAAGGTGGACGTAACGTTTAGAGTTTGCTTCTCCTGTATCCGTGCTTGCTTTCCCTTTTCGACGGAAGTAACTAGTCTTAGCTAGTACATCAATTGTTGAACCGTTTGCATTTTGAGCGTTTAGTTGAAGTGCTAGTGAAGCATGATTGAACATTCTTGTTCGACTGATTATCAGATTTGTTCGATAGGTTGAAATCTTCTTTAAACCTCTGTGCAAAGTTTTAAGGTTTGAAGAAGTCTTCCGTGCCGCGCCGGAAGACCACACTGAACTCTTCCAACTCCAAATTTTGGTTAGAGCCTCTTCTTCCACCGAGGCAGGATAACTTCTCGATTTTCTTCAGTTTCATTTATTTTCAAATCACATTCGCCTCAGCAGTCTGAAAGTATCTTACGAATGTTTCTTCCGAGAGTTCGAAGCGCCCGTTTGATAATCGAGTGTAAATTGGGGCTGACAATCCAAAACGACTTTGTAGTACGTCAAGTTTTCTGTATATTTTTTTTAAGTGTTAAAAGGCTCACACGGCTCCAAAGGATGTCGGTTTTCTTGTCTTCGTTATAATTTTGCTTTCACGAGTATGTCTTTGAATGGACGCCTCTTTCTTTATGATAATTTACTTCGTTCCAGAGCGGGCGGTGTCTGGTATGGAGAGGTTGAAATCTTCTTTAAGCCTCTACAGAGAGTTTTAATGTTAGAAGAAGTCTTCCATGCGCCGGGGAGGCCGCACTGACCTCTTCCTACTCCAAATTTTGGTTAGAGCCTCTTCTTCCTCTGAGTCAGGATGACATTCTTGATTTTCTTCAGTTTCATTTGTTTCCAAATCACATTCACCTCGGCAGTCTGAAAGGATCTGGCAAAATCTTTCTTTAGTTAGCTGTAAACGACCGTTGAATAATCGTATCGAATCTTTACCAATTTCACAAATACTGTCACTTTTCTTGCATTTTGCTTCTTCGCTAGATGTTTCGAAGAGAAAAGAAGTTTTATCTATGATGACATACTTAGTACCAAAGAAATCATTTGCGTCTATCGTACGTGAAATGAAGATGCAGAAAAAGTTGGATTTGCATTTGATTGCGTAAACTCCAGTATATGATGAATTATACGTCTTTTGATCATGTCCAGGCAAGGGTACGGGCTCTACATCGCTTGTAGAGCTAGTACCTGGTGGATGCACTAGTGTATCTGCCTCCTTTTCAGAGTTCACAGCCTTAAAAGGCTCCTGTATTGATGCGAGAGCTTGTTCCTCGGTGCTGTCGTTTGCATCCGCCTTGGTGTATATATAGAAGGGGAGAGTGCCAGCTTTGTCTTTCGTGAAAGAATTTCGCACGGACTGTTGCCTGACCCTTCGTCCAAATTCATTTCTCCAATCGTTAAGGCGTTTAATGTCCTCGTTATTCAAGAACATAGTTGACTCTTGTGGCACCGGGAGCAAGTCTTCGTACTTGATTGAAAACTGTGATGGTAGCCCATAGTGTTGTTTCTCCCGAGTGGAGCAAATACATCCAGGCCAAGCAATTCTCTTTAGGGTCTCATCTGCTGCCCCGACGAAATTCATCGCACAATGCAGCACAGTCGGTGTGTCTGTCACTTGTCGCATTTCACTGTTGAAATACTCGTTAACGAGTGTAAGAAATGTTCTTATATCAACAACTTCGAGCAGATGAGAACATTCTTTAATCGTGTTCAGAAGCAATGGAGGAAGTTCTTGATGAAAGTTACTGAGGCGACTGTCTTCTTAGCTGGGGTTCCCTGAGGCTCCTGCATCGTTCCACAAACTTTAAACTTTGGCTTGGCATTTTAAAGTATCTGCATTAGGGTTTTTTCCGCTTTCTCAATGCGTTGCTCGGCTTTAAGAGAGATGGCATTTTGGCATGACCTAGAATATCAGAATGAATATGGAAGGCACGATAAATGTCTTTCATTACTCTGACATACTTTATCAAAGCCGATATCTTGGTAATAAGCCTGACACTTTTGCTGCCTGTGTCAACGAAAAATATTGTTCCGTTCTCAGAAATTATTACTGTTGGGTGGGACACTCTTGCTACATCGATGAACCCGTCCTCTGCTCCACTCGTACCATCACCAATGATTGTGTCCACTTTCTTAACTTCTTTCTTGCCATCTAAGTCAGGTGCTTCAAGAGAAAACCGTTTCAACGCGTGTGATGTAGTGTCCGTAAAAATGACTGAATGACAATTTAAACTCACGCCCTGAATTTGGCTGCACAATTTACTTCCGTTTCGTAAGAGTTGTTGTGTTGTGTCATCTTTTAGGTTTAGAACGACCAGGCCCCCAAATGTCCCGGAATCAGCAAGCAACGGCTTCTGCTGGCCCTCAATGACACACATTTCAGTCGGATTGATGTTCTCCTTTAGGTTCATGACCGTTCACATGTTGCGCTATAGCTTAAAGTCAGCCCTCTCTACTTTTACTTCTACTAGTTTCTTGTTCTCAGTGTCACCAATGAAAAGAATTTCATCAGCACAGCTGGTCATTGCCACCGGTGTTTTCAAGCGCGGTTCCTGATCCAGCTTTGTTCCCTATCTGGTCACACTTTTCTTGTTACTCTGTAGAAAAACAGTTATGGCAGATTTCAACTCTTCTCGGCTATGATGTTGGCCATGTTCGTAATCAACGTGTACTTCATGTCTGGCGACAAATGCTTTCATCTCTGCCTTTTTCATTGCCCCAACCTTACTTGCAACTTGGAACGCAGGTCTAGGCAGTAAATATTTCCCATTCTCTCGGCTATACAATGACAGTTCTGTGAACCATTACCAATGCTATAGGATCAGTGTAACCAGTTCCTGCTACTTTCAATGACGTTGGGTAATGAAGACGAACTTCAGCAAGCGTTCCTTTTTGGCTATCAACAACATACAATTTACTCGTGTCCTCTGTGTCTTTCACCAGGTCGACTGGAAGTTTGAAGGTGTTTGTTTTGTTGTCATCAGTGTGTCGGTGTTTTTCTGGTACAAGTGTGTAAACAATATCATCGCATCGGTTTTGAACAGATTCTAATACTGAAAGACACCCTTCACCGAAGATTTCTGCAACTGATTCGGTGGACATCTTATCCCGGTGTCTAACAGACTCTAGTCTGATTGCTTGTCTCAGTTTTTGCCCGGTCTCTGACTTGTAGTCTTGCCGAAGAGTATGCAGCATTGCTAAGTTTACACGATAGTCATCGACAAAAAGCTACCAGTTAGCCAGAATTCCCTTCAGACATTTTCCTACATGAACTGCATCTGGGATTCCCTCGGTAAGGTGTAAGTTTGATTGTCGAGGGTTAGCTTCGTCTTCCTTCCTTGACTGCATAATTTCCAAAGCTGTTTTGGTTTTTTTTTTCTCACAGTCTGATGAATAACTAGTTTTTACAAACTTAACGCACTTTTTGCCTTTAGACGAGCATTTGTCACAAGGGCAGAGTTGCCGTTCAACGGTTTGAAAGCCATTTCCTTTGCATTCATAACAAACTTCCCCTTGGTCAAGGCAAGACTCACAGCGAGACCTACAGCCGCAGTTGGAAATTAAGATAGAATTACTGGACTTTGACTAGGCTTCGAGACAGGCAAGACAGGTTTGTAAATGTCCAGCAATTTCTTCAACTTCAGCCAGCACTTCTTTTCCAGACTGATCTGCGGCTTAGACTCCAACGGGAGGATTGATCTTTCTATCAATAGTTGTAACAACTGAAATGTCATACCTTGTTTTGGTTGCGAAGGATTTGGTACAGGATTCTTTCTTATATAATCCATATCAATTTTATTCGGTGAACCAACTAGAACCTTCTTTCTCTCATCAAACTCGAGGCCAGGTTTAAAGCCAAGACCATCTCTCGTCAAGGAAATCGCAATAGCTTTGACGGTAGAACTATTGACATAGCAACAGGTATTTTGAGAATCGGCGATCCGCAAAATGGACACAAGAAGGTTTTTAATAATGCCACTTGCCATAGTATAGCCAGGTTTGTTGCGGCGCACCGTTCGTTTGCTTGGCAAAGGAATTCCAAATCTGCTGAAATCCGTGCGATTGCTTAACGTTTGTTTTCTTTTTTTCTTTGCAAGCATTAAAACCACCAGGTCCTCGTACAAAATTGAAGGTTCGGCTTTTACCAAGACGAAGAGCGATCTCGCCCTACGACAGTCGGATCCCACTGGTACTTCTCTCCTTTGGAATGGTCATACGATCCGTATTTCAAAGCACTAGAAACAAGCTTATAGAATATGTGCTCTCTTGGAAGCACCCCACTTTGCACAACTGAGTCTAGCATCTCGGCCACTGGATCAACAAACTGAAATCTGCGAGCGCCGCTATCCTCCGTGACATCCTCCCAAGAATCAGAATCGTCATCATTGCCACTGTTCGAATGCACCTCGTAGTCTGAACAGCTATCAGAGCCTCTACAGTCGTCTAATTCATCTGGGCCTTCTGTTGACAAAGATACCGTCGAGACTGCGGAAAAGCTGTTTGGACTCGCCATTGACGATGAACTGAATTCTGGGTGACCTTCAATTGGCGAAGCAGTGCCATAGTGCACAGAAAATGGATCAGAGTACTCCACCATTTCCCATAAATCACTGCCACTTTTACTGGGCCGGTCAATTTTGGCTTTTGTTTCTGGCCGATGTCGTCCATGACCAGGGCGTACTTTATTGTCTTTTTTCCGCTTGGAAGGCGGTGCATCAGCTTCAAAGCTGGCAGAGGATTGGCCCTACTTAGGGGGTGCAGTGCTTGTTGATGTAGAAGGAACATTCCTTTTACGCCCAAGCAACGACGTTTCAATTAGTTTGACTGAACGTTTGCAAAGAAAACAATCGTATAGCATTAGTGTGGGAACGAAAGGAACGATATCAACTGCAAAACGTAAACTTTTCATTCTGTCATTAGAGGGCTTTTTCAATTAAAAAAATGGCGTGCAACTGATTAACATGGCATGCTCGATAACCTTTCACAAGATTCTTGCCTCCGAAATTTTCTTTTAAGCATTGGTGGATGTTAAATGGAAATGTTGGTGGATGTTAAATGGAAATTTAATTGTGGGAAATTGTAGCAAATGCTGTGGGAAAGTGCTCAATACACGAGTGTAGAGCGAAATACAGCTCAAAATGACTAAATTGAAACACGCATGATTCTCTGTTACTCTGAGTTTCGTGCTTACGCACTCGTCAGACAGATTTAATGAAAAACATTCTTGTAGGCTAATTTATATATATTAAAAAGGTAGCTGCTGATTACAATAGGTTTTTGTAATATAATAGGTGAGAAAGAGCGAAAATTACAATGGATGTGGATATATTAAGGAAGGACAATGGGGCAGTAGGTGTGAATATATTGACGAAAGTCTATTGTAGCAGGGAGGCATCAGATGTTCTTTAGATAAAACTTGTTTTCGTGACGGCATTTAGATATGAATTCGGATCTTTTATTCAGACAGAGTTGTCCTTCAGTTGCCAGATGTATTTGGATAGTTCAGTGCTGTTAGTGTATTTTCTGTGTCGGAATGTTACCTTGTGTTGATTAAATCTTTGTTTAAAGGTTCCTTCGGTCAGTCCAATGTAGTTCTTAGGGGGCTTTTTGTTATCTGTAGTGGTGATTTGTGCGTTGTAGATAATGCTGGAAGACAGGCAATTGTTGTTAAGCAGGCGCTGTTCTTTATAGCTGCAGTTGCAAAGGCTTTCGTTGTTGTCGTAGTTGTTGTTGTTAGATAGTGCTTTCTTGTTATGTTTGTTAATGATCGATCCCATGTTCTCCATACAACTGTTGCTGACCTTTACGTTGTTCTTGTTGAATAAACTATGGCATTTGTGATGTTTTGGAAAATGCTTGGATACCAGTCTAAGAAATGTTTTGCCGATGTTTGTTTGTGCGTTGCTTCTAAAAGGAGGGTTGTACCAGATAATGTTTCTTCGTCGTTCTTCTGGGTCGAGTGGTTTGTCTGTGCTTGTTGTAGGTTAGAGTTTTTGTATGTTCGCTGGATTTGAGGGCAGTTTCGTATTCTGTCATAGCCTTGTTGAATTCGTCTTCGTTGCAGGAGTTATCAGATATTTTACGCCTGATGGAGTCAGGTAGTTGTTTGATTATGCTGGGAGGGTGGTTTGACTTTGCATTGATGTATAGCGGCTGGTTGCTAGGCTTTCTGTAAGGGCAGTACGTTCCATTGTTGAAATTAAATGTGACGTCGAGATAGTTGACGATTTTCAAGTTGGTCTGCATAGTGATATTGAGTCCGTTGTTCTTGAAATGACTGGTAATGTCTTTCCTAATTCTTCGGCTAGTGTTCCAGAGATGATTTTGAATACGGCAAGTCCGTCGTCTCTGTACAGACCAATGCATTCTTTTCCGTAGGTGTTAATAATAATAATAATAATAATAATAATAATAATAATAATAATAATAAAGGTCTTTATTAAGAATTCATTGCGCAAACAGACGTGCAACAATTTACATGAAGAAATAATGATTAATTGCAATTAAAAAGACATCTATTGATAAACACTGATTTAAAACGACTTGTCTGGACCTTAGGTAGAATATAATTATGCGACCTACTTCTCAACTGCCGTGTCCTCTGGGGAGGTAAGAGATCCCTCAAGGCAGTGTTCGTGGAAGAGATCCTTCGCCATAATTTCATATCTCTATAATGACGAATATCCAAGATACTATGCTGCTTTAAGCAGTAACCTAACTTATAACACCTGGCAAAGAGCTTATCAACACTACTTAAATATTTACTATAAAAAGCACACCCCCAGACCTCAATAGCATATGTAAAAACAGAAAGGATCAAACTTTGAAAAAGTAAGTCCAAATTCTCCTTAGAGTATCCATAATATTTATATATTCTTAAAATGTACAACCTACTGCTAGCCTTACTCAGTAAATAATCAATATGAGTATCCCAATTAACTGGCACTTGCTCAAAGGTAACACCCAATAATTTCAGCTTATCTTTCCTCCCTATAATCTCAAGTGGTTCAGGAGGCGTCTTGGTAGTTCTACCTCGTAAAAGAAGTTCCCATGTTTTCGTCAGATTGACTTTCATGCGGTTCTTCTCAGACCATTCAATAAAGGATAAGACCGCCGTTTGAAATTCATCCAAGCCTACATTTGCCTCAATCGGCAAACTAACAGTTATGTCATCAGCAAATTTAACTAGAAGATTCTTATCAGTGTTAACAGCTTTAATATCGTTTATAAAAGTAGAAAATAGGACCGGCCCCAGGACTGTACCTTGGGGAACGCCCCTATTTATAGAAACATATTCAGTACTGTAGCCATCGACAACAACCCTCTGCTTCCTATGATCTAAAAAACTAATAAGCCAATTAATAATATATGGATTAATATCAACTTGCTTCAATTTACTACAAAGAATATTATGTGATACAGAGTCGAACGCTTTACTAAAGTCAAAGGAAAAAATTCTAACAAAATCAGCATTACCATTGAGCCACTTGGACCATGTATGTTGGCATTTGATTAAAGCCATTGTAGAATTATGGCCACCACGATGGGCAAACTGATCAAAATCAATATAGTCGTTACAAATATTGGAAAGCTCAAACCTATAGACCAATCGTTCAAAGAGTCTCATGATAACAGCAGTTAAAGAAATTGGCTGAAGCTGGGTACAGCAAGTTAATGGAGATTCCTTTAGTAAAGGCTTGATGTCTGCCATCTTCCAAGAGGATGGTACTTTATGTTGTCGCAGCGAGCTGTTAAACACATCAGTAATAGCAGGGGCAAGATCATAGGCGAAATCTCTAAAAAGCCAGTATGGGAGCTCATCCGGGCCATTAGCAGTCCTCTTAAGCCTAGAGAGAAAACTCGTAACAACCTGAAGAGGTATTTTAGGTATTCTTGCACCATTAGGGATATCAATCGGTGCAGGGGCTATATATTCAGGGTCAGAGGATATGCTACAAAAGTATTTATTGATGATGTCTGGGTGAATAACTGAGCTAATCAACTGGGGCTCAGTATCTCTTCCAGTGATGGTATTGACAGTAGACCACCAGGCACGCGAGCCCCTACCAGACATACAAGAATCCTGCATGACAGCATGTCGTTGATTTTCCCTAATAAGATGGTTGATTCTGTCCTCAAGGCCAACAGGAAGCCGTTTAGATCTCCTTAGCAACCTATTCCTAAATTTCAAAAGATGTTTAACCAATGGTGAAATGAAAGGAGGATCTCTTGAGGATATACGAACAGAAATCAGCGGGAAACACTCATTAAACATGGTCCAAAGGGTGTTAGATAGCCCATCGCACTTCAATTCACAATCAGTGACAGAAAAAAACCTCCCGCCAATCATGACTCTCAAACAGACGAGCCATTGAGCCATTTGAATTTTTCTATGTTCTCTAACATCTCTAAACTGTATGCTGCTACGTTTAGCCTTAGCAGATATTCGTGGACGTACAATAACCATGTTGTGGTCCGACCTAATAGCACTTTTAAAGACCCTGACCTCGTCCCACAGATAAGGAGTATTGGTCATAAAAACATCCAGGATATTTACTCCTCTGGTCGGCTTTTTAACCATCTGAGACAGCGAAGCACGTACAAGTAAATCCTTGTATTTTAGCTGATTAACATCCCCAGCAATAATGATTGTACAATTCGGATTCACAGCCATTAAATGTTCGCAAGAAGCCGTCAGAAAATCCAACAGTTCCTCTTGATCATACAAGGACTCATCAGGATGGTAAACAACACATGCATAATAGACGGAATTAGGAGTCGAAACTCTTAGCCATAAACATTCAAAAACACTGGAAAGAGGACCCTCCAGCCGTCCAATTTTCCAATCTCCTCTGCAAATGATAGCGACACCACCTCCTCCACGATCCAATCTGTCTTTACGAATCATACAAAATCCATTGGGGCAGACAATGTGAGTTGGATGTATAGGTTTAAGCCAAGTTTCAGTCAAAAAGCACAGGTCGCAGTTATTTGTCAGCAACTTAGCAACAAGGGCAGGGAAGGCGTCCACTTTAGCAACAGATACCTAAACCGCTGGGAATAAATAAACCGACTAATTCGCAAACTTCCGCGCCGTCGTAGCTACCGTCCAGTGGGACGAGAGCTACAAAGGAGCTACAAAGCTACAAAGCCACAGAGCTACAGAACTACAAAGGAGCTACAGCACCTTTGATGTCACCATGGGACTGACCGAAGGAACTTTTAAACAAAGATTTAATCAACACAAGGTTACATTCCGACACAGAAAATACACTAACAGCACTGAACTATCCAAATACATCCGGCAACTGAAGGACAACTCTGTAAACTTTAACATAAAATGGTTCATTATTGCAAGAGCCAGGCCCTAAAACAACACGACGAAAAGATGCGACCTTTGCCTGACCGAAAAACTCATGATTATTAAGTCCAACGGCAACAACTTGCTGAATAAAAGATCCGAATTCATATCTAAATGCCGTCACAAAAACAAGTTTTATCTAAAGAACATCTGACGCCTCCCTGCTACAATAGACTTTCGTCAATATATTCACACCTACTGCCCCATTGTCCTTCATTAATACACCCATATCCATTGTAATTTTCGCTCTTTCTCACCTATTATATAACAAAAACCTATTGTAATCAGCAGCTACCTTTTTTATATAAATAAATTAGCCTACAAGAATGTTTTTCATCAAATCTGTCTGACGAGTGCGTAAGCACGAAACTCAGAGTAACAGAGAATCATGCGTGTTTCATTTTAGTCATTTTGAACTGTAAATGGAAATTTTAAAATTTGCTAGATAAGTGTTTTTGACTGAATAAAGTTTGTTGTTTATTACCCAGTCATAAACAACAAACTAGCACCTTATTTATTTCTCTTCCCGCTTCCCGCCCTCCTGTAGATCCCGCTTCCCGCTCCCTGTTCTCCCGCCTCCCTCTCTCTCCCGCCCCCTGTTCTCCCGGGCTCCCGCCCCCATTTCCCCCTCCACACTAGAGGACTTAAGAGTATCGCGATATTCGTAGGTAAAATAAAGATTCACTTTTTAACCGACGTTGTCGACGGCTTCGCCGTCGTCGTTTCTTAAACTCGCTATTGTTTATGTGTGGCACATTTGAACTGTAAATTAGCGAACTATGGCACAGGAGGTTAGTTTGTGGTGGCTTTTGTTATGGAAGAGACACGTGTAAGTACGTTGAGTGAGTCTAAGTTGTACTAAACGTTAGTCACGTGCAATAATACCAGGCTGCATTGGTTCTTCGTTATTGTTTGGCTTACTTTTGTTCCGATGACGAGCTTACGCCATGGGTGTGCGCAACTGAACTGCTGCTGAAACCATTTACTTTGCGCCTAAGTAGTAACGGCCATGTCCACCAACTCCTGACAAAAGCCACAAAAATTGATTTTATGCCCCAGTGTAAATAAAATGTAATTACATTTGCGTTAAACTCGGGGAAGTAGAATTCAGCTGGATAAAATGAAACTTAATACTCATAGGCCTCTTCAGTGTTGTTTCATACATAGCGGTGTGATATCAACTGCTTTCATCAAACCAGGAAATGAAATTACGGCAGATGAACACCCTCAAGTCACACAAGGAGACAGATACTTATTGATTCTTACGTTTTCACAGAGTGATTGATTACAGGCAAAGACAACGTTCGCTGAGTGATTCAACCGACTTAAACTCTCCGGGTGCCTTCACTGCCGAGAGCACTGCCGAGAAGGTTAGGAAAACACAAAGCTATACAGCATTTCCCCACATCAATAAAAACTCCACATGCCTCGATGACGAACCTTCCTTCAACCGAACATCCTGCTTCAGAATTATGCCCCAGTGTCCTTTCACAATGAATATTTTCCAACAATCTCCGATTTTGTCTCGTTCGTCTTTTGAATATTTCTTTGGAAATCAGTGGCGAATCTGAAGATTCAGGAAGGGAGCTGGAGATTAAAGACCAAAACGTGCTTCATACTTGGCGAAGCAAGCCTAGAGAACGGTGTCCTATTCAGAACCTGCTCTGGTTGAGCCCGAGGGACGGGTCCGAACATGGAGCCTACCTAATATGGAGGAGAAGCGTTCACGAGGCCAAGAAACGATGCACATAGTTAAAGCGTCTCCATCGCGGCTTCAATTTCCCGAACAATCGTTGAAAAACCTGAGAGAAGAAGGCAGTTTATTTTCGCTGAGACACACTTCAGAGGCAGTTAGGTCTCGTTCTTCGTCAGTGATGTCACTTGTGGATAATTACGACAGCCAAATTTGTGATCAACATTTTCCATCCCAGGAGCCTCTTGAAGTTGAAGAAATGACAGGTCACTGGGTAAATCGCAATCGAAGACAATCTATATCCAAACAGCCGTCATTCTTGATGGTCGAAGAGGTCGACGAAGAAAACGAAGCTATGGTGAGAGTAACGATTTAATTTTAGAATTTTCCAAGCGCTTCGTAACTAGACTATGAGCAGTCCCTCCTCTTCGGCGAGTTCTGTCGAGTGATTAAAAAAATCAGTGAGGCCACTCCCAGTGATCCCTGTGGTGCGCTACCATCAATATTTTTACACCGTTCTTTTTTTTTAACTCGCGCGACAGACTTCGTGGAGGAGGAGGGACTGCTCGTAGTCTAAGAAATTGCTGAGCAAGTCTTGAGTTCTCACGAAATGGTAAGATTTCAAAAGATAAAAATAGAACCAGGAAATAACACGATCGTAGCAAAAATTATGCTAAATTTTAATGAAGAAGTTGTTAGTTTGCAGAGAACGACCAAGAAATGTACACAATTTTAAAAGGCACGTGCTGAGCTATTGTTCTGCTGATTAGAAAACGTTTTGCCACGTCCTTGTTGCCGTCTTCGTCGTGGTTTGCTAAAGAGTTGGTTCGTTTGTCCGATAAGTCCCCTTAAATAGCAAGATACTTCATTCCCTTAGTGCTTTTCCCCACTCTGGACTATAAATGACAACCGGCAAACTCAATCATCAGTCAATCATTCCATTAATGCCATAGTTTTAAATAAGGTTGCCCTATATATCAGAGCCATAGGCTCACGTGTAAAAACTTAACAATTTAAGGAGCTGAGCACATCGAATATGAATTGAAAATTTAATATGGTAAGTTTGGGAATATACAGATAAGTAATTATATTGAAGTACTTCGTTCAGACCACATTTAGATATAAAGACACAGTAAGAGAAAGCTGATTCCAAAAAAGTGACAGCTTAAAAGCAAACGAATAATGGAATAATTTTCAGTGTTGTTATCTGTATAGAGTACTTCATCAGAAAGCTGAAATGATGATGTGAAAACAGTGGGGGCTGCTGTCAGGATGTGGAGGACTAAGCAGAGTGAACGTAGAGCAACAATCGCCTCAGACTCCCCTCTGACTGACATTCCTAATTATACGTCAGAAATAGAGCAACATGCGTTTAGCAGGATCAGGCAATGGAAGAACAGCTTTGCTCTGAAATCGAACAATGTTCTTAGGGAGCGATTACAGGAGATGATTGATGATACAAATGATGAAGGAATTATCACGTCGTGTTTCGTCTGTTTTGAACGAAGAGAAGGCTACCCACTGCTATAGACCATCATCTTTGGTGCCAGTTTCGACAAAGAGCTCGCCAAACATCAAAATGTTGTGTACATACCCCACGGAACTGGTTATAAATTATTGGATCCTGATAGTATTTATGACTTGTTAAACTGGCACGAGGCCGAGAGAAAGCACTGGAAAGCTGAGTTGGAGGGGTTACTGCAAGCTGACTTATCAGAAAGACAGGTGGGGTATACCTAAGCAATGTATACTTTGACTAGTACGTAGCAAAGGAGCGGGTCAGCCTAAATAGCAACGGGTATTTTCTGTTAGTCTAAAATGAGGGGAAAAGGCTGTTTTATAGCTTCGACAGCAATATAGTTAAATTGTGGGGAATTAAAAAACTCATCATTGGAGTGGTTGGGACTATGACTTTGCTAATTTTGACAAAAACTGTTTGAAAGACTACTCTCATCGTACCATCAGACCTCTCACACCAATAGTTTTTGCACAACTCGTTTAAAAATAAGAATGCAAATAATATGTTTCTCCACAGAAGGTTCGAGGAACATGAACGTAATTTCATAGAGAGCCATTTCCTATAGCAATAACCTCAGCTAGAAGGAATTTCAATAAAATTACGATTAACCAACTCCTCTTTGTTAATAAAGTTGACTAGGAAAGAGTGAAAGTCTTTGATAGGGATTAGTCCTGCACTAGTTTAGTCTTAGTAAATACATACTGAATGATCGCATTTGCCAAGTGGAGTAGAGATGTTTTGATTCCTTTTTCATCATCTTTAGGCGGTCATTGATAGAGACGATGCTAATAAAGTTCTTCATTCGATGTTCAAAATAATGGAAGACATTTTTACGGGGACGATAAAGCGTTTCATGGGGTCAGAAGAATCAGTAGTTACCGTAGCCACATCAGACGACGGAGGCAAAGCTAATTTATCTCACACGACGGGAATTGGAGAGCAAACTCAAAGTACCATTTCAGGTCTGGCACGTCGAGCTAAGAAAACTGAAAAGCCACATTCAATAAATTTTTAATGCTGTGAAGAAAACCACTCCCTTCAGTTGCAAGATACTTTTACTGCAACCCTGGAACCCAGGCCCCTAAGACGATGAAGCCAATTACCATTTAAGGTTTTTTTTTTATATGGTGATTCAAATCCTGTAACCTCCTTTCCGCTTCTAGTTAAGTTTTAGTGCCAATTTTTTTGTTTTGACAGGTCAGGTTTTTTGCGTCACAAAATTTGCCTTGGGAACCTTGACCTCGTGTACTCGATCCAGGTCTCCTGACTCGCTCTCATATCTTTAAACGTGGTTTATTACATCTTTATGCACATCTTAGTACAGAAGAGAAAAATCCAGCATCAGCAAGCTGTCGAGGACGTAAATTCTTAAATTTTGGAGATAGAATTGAGACGCTAAGGCGACAAGCACGTGTTTGTAAAGGAGTTCTTTTCTTGAATCTTCAGAAACTAAAAATAATGAAGAGCCTCAGGAGACTGATGACACGGAATCTGATATTGAAGTGAAAAGGAAAGAAAGTAAATATTGATTCATACAGTTTGTAATGGAAAGCTAAAAGAATCCTTCGTCGATTGTGTAAACGAGGGATCAGAAAAATAAGCCGCTGATATATTGAGAAATGGTGATACGGGATTTTTCCTGTGCGGTTTGCAAGCAAGCCATCTCCTTAAGGTTCATTAAAAATTCCCGATGCAAATTCGCTTGATAAATTGCCCTCTTGTCCAGCATATTCTGTCACTACAGTGAATGCTATCTTTCTGTTGAGGACCATTTCTTAAAAATTAGAGGGAGTCTGAGCTATTTTGTTATGCCAAACGAAGCTTATATTGTAACATGCCTTGCATTCGAAAATTCCCATCTTGTAATTTTTGATTTGATGTTTCCGGCGGTTCGCGGACTAAGTTCTGGAGAAATCTTCGGCGAATTTCGAGATTTTCTTTTTCTTCCGAGAAAAAGAGTGAACAAGTTTTGTTAAAAATTTTACATTTTCGCGAAGTGAAAGCAAGAAACTCTAATGTGGAGGTTATTAAATATGCCCGATGCAAATGAGTGAGTATAGAAATTGTTCTTTATCTCTTCCATACGCTTCCAGTTTATTCTATTTTCTATATTTAAATAAAAAGGCAGCACTTTGCTGATATGAAATGTATAGATGGGTGGTGAATCCACTTCTGTTATCACCCAAAATGTTCAAATAGTGCAGTTGCTTATTCCCTTTAACAGAAATAAACGATTTCCTGACAAAGCTTTGGAGTCTTTCAATTTTTCTTTTGGTTTTATTTGTTTATCCATTCGCTACTCGAGAAAGCAAAGGAGGGACAGGTACATGTGGGCCATTGAATATGCCCGATGCAAATTACTTAGTTTAATAATTGCTTTTTATCGGCACCATACTGAGCGGTCACTCAAAGCGGAACCACTGAAATAAAAGTAAGAACTTTCAACCAATCAATTCAATCCATGTTTATCTAATCAATGTTAGTGGTATTTTTGAGGGAGTACTAGAGTTTGTGTAATTAGAAAACGAAGTTAAACGAAGGAAACATACAGAAGAAGTGTCGCCATTAATTCCATTTCATATTTTGTTAACGTCTCAGGAAGCATCTCATTTATTTCATTTTAGCACAGCAATAAGCATGGCCGAAGCTGAGGGAGAAGAACAGCTTCTTCTTCCAAATGAACGAACATATTTGGGCTTGCGGCGTAACAGACAGCCGCAGGATGTCAATGGATGCTACCGATTTTTATTGAAAATTGTCGAAATCACTTTCTGTATACTTGGATTATGGAGTTACCGGGCTTGGAACTGCATCCCACGAGTACTAGTCAGTCTAATTTGTATTTATCAAGCTGTTTACGATTTCTATGTCGTGTTAGGTTGCCACGGTTTTGATTGCAGTTTCTTACAAAATTCAACGGATTCTAAGAAGCCCTCTCATCACAAGGATGATCGTCATGTTGCAAACGCTGTTTACAGGATAGTCTCATTGGCAGCAGTGGTTTCTTACCTCTTCTTTATCCGTTGTTTCATCGTAGCAAAGCACAAAAACTCAGCTATGGTCGCACCGTCTGAATTATTGATGGAAGATCTTACCAGAACGGACTGCCAGTGGTTGTGTCTTATTTTCATTTTAATAACAATTTTGTATCTAAGCTCGGTGGCTGTGTTTTACGCTATTATATGGATAAGTCAGCCAAAAGATTCCTATTTCACCATTCTTGCCACCGGAGTAGGAGCCCAGTTTTTCGCGCAGTGGACAGCAATAACAACTTGTCACGTGTTTGGCGTTAGTTCCTTTGCAGTAGGTGAGTTATATTCTGAAAACAATAGGATTTCGGGAATATGCCTCTGTGGTAATGGAAGTTTACTATCCCGAAGTCATAATCAATGTTTTCTTTCTATGAACACAACCGTTTATTTCTCTGTCGCACCTTTTCTAAGAAAATTTCAATTTTTCTTAACCCTTTTGAGTCTTTGTCATCGTCGCATCGTTGCTGTGTTACTGCAGAAAAGAGAAAATCTGAGAACTTTCTGTCACGATCACGTGAATGATGCCAAAGTTATGCTTGGACCGTTTTGTCAGCAAAGAAGAGTTAGATTACGGAGAACGACTAAAGCTCTTAAAATTTTCTTCTTTCCCAAATTATGGTTTCGTAGCTTAGTTGATAGCAGCACCTGGTCGTATTTGGAGGTAAAATTCAAATCCTGCAAATCCTTTCAAAGTCTCAAATTAATAAGGCTTTTTTTCTGTGATCTCTTTAATTCCTGTTTACCTTTGTGGTTCATTATTTTCGTTCTCATCATACACAGGTCAAAATATCATTCAGTCAATTTATTTGCGGTAAAGACTTTTATCTGTAGATTCCTGGCCTGAAGACTACTGAACATCTTGATTCACTCTAAATTCCTAAATGTATATTTAGATCATCAACTTAAGCAACATAAGCAATATGCATAACATATCCACCAAAGCCACAATTATCATCCTCAATATGAATCATCATATCACGGACATCACTTTCATCACATCATCATCATCATTATCATCATCATCATCATCATCATTACCAAGCCAATCTTATCACATCTTAGGCAAAGGAGACACCACTACATTTACCCCTCGCCTATCACAATCGTTAACACGGAACGCTGGAACCAACAGTATCCCCACCTCAACTTCCATAGTCACTGGCATGTATGAAATAACCACAGCTGTAGTGGTTGTTGCCACCAACATTTCTAACTTTACCATAGCCATTTTTTTAGCCATCACCATCTTTATCTGCATCAGCACTACCACGACTACTAAATGAAACTACTTCCTACACCAGCATCTTCTACTAATTATTAACTAATCAGCCCTTCCAACACTTGATATTAGTACCGATATCGTGAACTACCAGCACAATAACCATCCTCACAAACCACTGGCTATAGGTGCTCTCGTCACCAGGGTCATCGCTATCGCCATCTTAAGTTTCATATCTTTCCACGTACACTGGAATGCCTACCTGAGGCATAAACGCTAATCTAACTTCATTACAGACACACCTTTTTCACTGCTTTCAGAGACACCATCAACTCCGCAGGCATCACAACCCTAAACACAAAACTGTGACCATCACCACCATATTAAATGTGCCAAGAGAACTAAATACTCTTTGTAACTTCAACAGCATCATTTTCATTGCTGCAATAAACCATACACCTACACCACTGCATGTGCTACTAATACAACCTATTATTATACATTAGATTTATTGTGAAAAATCTGATTGGTCGAAAGCATTCAGTCGTTATACAATAGCGTGTGAAATTGCAAGAACGAGTTATCCTATCACAAAACTAATTTCGTGTTCAAAGTCTTCCTAGTTTCCAAGCCCCTCGCCTGTGTAGTGTTTTCTTCTGCAGATTGTTTGAAAAATGTATTGTAAAACAATTATTGAATCCGGTTTTCGCATGATATCATGAATTATCAAACCTCGTATGAGTGTTATCAGTCTCAACCTTTGGCTTCGGCAGATAACTCAGATCTCGGCGTTGATTATTAATCACATCATACTCCACCTCATTCAATAATTGCTTAATGGCAGATGAAGTTGACATGATAACCCAATATCTGCAATTCAATTTTGAATTCAAAGTCTGCCTAATATACAAGCGCCACGTGTCTGTGTTATCTGCGTCAGCCTTCAGCCTCAGCAGATAACTCAGACCTCAGTTTTGATAATTCGTGATATCACGCTCAACAACATCCAACATTTGCTTATTATCGTCAGCTTCAACATTATCATTGCTGGCATTTTAAAATTCACTACCATATAACAGTTTCAAGGAGGAAAAGCACTATCACCGCTACCATTTCCAACATCACCCGCGTCGTCTGCTCAAAATAGCACCACAACCTTCTTGACCACGGTGATGATCGCCTTCCATGTCGTCATCACCATCCCCACCCTTGTGCTTTTTGCATCTTTATAATCACTTCATGATCGCAATTGTTCTCAATTTTTCTCAGGAACTTATGCAGAGGACACGCTGAGGCACATTGAACAGATTGAAGAACAACATAGAAGCCTCGACAAGATCATAACATTACACCAGGGACTCTGCACAGTTGTTTTCAACACAGTGTCATCCTACAGTGTCTGGTTTGTAGTGCACTGGGTCAGTTATGGAGTAGGAGTTGTTCTGTCTGTAATTTACATATCTAAAGAAATACTCTTCAGAAGCAAGTATGACACTCCTATAATAAACCTGGTGTACCTTGCCTTATTCTTTGCCTGCAATATCTATTTATTCCTTGTTCCATGCATCTTCGCTGCAAGAATCACAAGCAAGTGCAGAGGTACGATAATTATTTTAAAATGCACAAGAATACTTTTGCACTTTCACCCTCATTGTAAACCGCGCCGCCCTGCAGGGGAAAGTTTATTATAACAGAGAGCTTTTCGATGGAGGGTCGTAAAACAAAAACGAAAGCAATCAAAACGGTCGAGCAAATAAAAAGGAAAATATAAGTAGCCAATAAGAACTCGGAGTGAAAACAAGCAAACTGCGGGAAAACACGGAGGACTAAGTCGAGAGAGTGGCGGAAGTCTTACAGACCAATCATAGCGCAAAGTAAAGAAAAACCAATTAGATCCCAAATTTCTTTCGATACCTAATCGAAAATTGTCTAATGGATGACACATTCGACTCTACGAGTCCCAAAATGTTTGAAAAATGAAGATGTGCAAGTATGCTCATTTTCAGGAATTTTGAGGAAGTGAAAGCCACAAGACAACGATCTAAACTAATTATTTGAAATTTTCTTAACAGACAAGCACTGTGAATAAGAATCTGAAATGATCAAATTTTACTTTTGCAATTGGTTGTTAGGATGAAATTATGCTATCTAAGCTATTAAAAAGGTTACAATTTTTAGATAAAGGATTTTACGAATTCTGTTTGTAAAAGCCTGTTTCATATTTCAATATTCACCCTACTTACACAATCTAAATGGCTCCAACGTTAGATGTGTTCCGTAATTTCGACTTAGTAATTGACAGCAAAGAGATTGCTTACCTTAACAGACTCTTCTTTTACATTAAAGGAGTGTACGAGAAAATCAACTCCATCACATCTGCGAACTGGGACGTGGATGGCCATCCATTCAGGGATCGTCAAAACATCGCTCTCTTCATTTCATACGCTAAGGACAGTGGTTGTGGATTCAAAATCGGTAGAATCACCTTCAGCACCTCATTGGCCTGGCTATCCTTTTTCTTTGGACTAATAGGTTTATTGTTTCACTTTTTTTAAGTTTACCCGACTTACGCGCCAATCACTCAATTTGGTGAAATATCGGAAGGCGTTAAACAAGTTTGCAAACTTTTTAAATTATGTTTTTTTCGTGACAATTGAAATAAATACTACTCCAAAGGCCAGTTCTTTATTTCTTTACACTTCGTTTCTCCTCTTTTTCTCTTATTTTGAATTGGAATAATTTTTTAAGAGTCTCAACTCGTCCTAGTTTTCTGGGAAAGTTTGAAACAGGGTTTATAGAGTTTATAGAGATTACTTCATGGAAAATGCGCGCGTACGATTTTTATTCACGAGTTGTGTAGTATCAGAAAACGAACGAGTGAGGTTTCTGATACGTATCAACGAGTGAATGAAAATCGTACAAAGCATTTTCCATGCTGTAATGTGTTTATTTCATAGGTGCTGAGATTTTTTCGTGTTGTCTTTGGTAGACAAATAGCACAAATGAGCAAACCCTTCTCGTACAATATCTTTAACTCTTCGGTTGTCAAAGCTACCGATGCTTTCGGTTTATTCCCTTTTCCTTGCTTCTTTAGTTGCTTTTGCTTGGATTGAAGAACTTTTCTGGTTTTCTCAAAGACCAAGTCGTTGATTATGCTGGCAGAATAGCCCTTTTTCTTCAAATGTCGTTCGAAGCTGGCCATTAAACTTCGAAGCGAAGTCGGCTCGTACTCGTTGCCATCTTTAGTGCGTACGGAGATAATAAATTCGCTAATGAATTCATTCAACTCAGCCGCTGGAATATCTTCAATTCGTCCTTCGTTTTCAAGAATCTTTCAAGCAATCTTACATCTCTTTCAGTTTTTTGAGCGGTATTTTTGTTTTCGTGTTCTAAAATGAATTCTTCAACTGAGTAAACAGAAGCGAATCTTCCCTCGGCCATTTTTCAAAGCGCGCGGGTTTTGTGCAACGGCTCTCGCATGACGTTCTCTTCAGTACGTTCATTCATCATTAGTGTCACTCGTCGTTCGCGTTGCTGATTGGACGAACGATAACTTTTCACGGTGAAATTTTGTCGTTCGTACTCCTGATTGGCTACATTTAGAATCAGTACGAATTTTATTCACTACGAATTTGTGGGTAAATCTCAGTACTTATGAAATAATACTCATTATTCCCTACAATGAAAATCACATCTAGCTGATCTTCATTTATTTGAAGGTTACGATATTTTGTAGAATTTTGCTGGATTCATCTCTTTCAGCCCTCATCATTCCTCGAGTAGTCATGATCAGTGGGTAATACATCTTTTAGCCTTGAAAATCAGCCTATATTTTTGATTTATTTCCGCGCTCAATTTGAGATCGATAATTCCGCGTTTTCGGGTTTTGAACTTTGACCCTGAAGCTCAAAATGAATGCGTGAGATCTAACTCGAACTATGATTACTAAGAATTATTCCAGTACCTGACGTTAACCGGCCAATTGCGCAAGAATTTCCTAAATTATGATAGTTTTGACATATTCTTCTTTAAAAATTTTTCACTTTCTCAGTACTTATAAAAAATGAAAAAACACAGACACGTAAGTACGCTCATTCTTCAAGACGAAATTACAGTTATTTGATTCTCTTAATTCGTTCTTGTATAGTCTTGCTTCATTCTCACACGATTTTAAGTTCAAAGTACGGTTTCCAACTAGCAAATCTGCGGTAGCCTGTTCTATCCACTGAGATACTCGTGTCATCAAAACTCCTGTGACACAAATTTTATTAACGGTTGGCAGTAGCGGTTTATCAAAGTTTCTTCCCATTGCAAGATCGTCCCCTGCCACTTCTGCGAGTTGGCGAGTCAATTCGTTTCCTCACAGCATAAAGTAATCGTTTTAAGTCGAAATCAGATTGCATTTCGATCGACATGCATTTTCACTGCGAAATCATTACGAATTTCGTTTAACATAAAAATTGTAAGGCGAGTGAACTAACGCGCGCCTCTTGCACGAATAATGCTGAGCCGCTTCATTCGTTACTCCCGTTACTTCAGGGAGCGGTAGGCGCTAAGGTCGATTATTTCAAATTACAGCAATCAACCAAATTACAGCAATCAACCAAAAAACGCAAAAAATTATTGTCATGAACACTTCAAAGAACTACACAGGCAGGGTATTATGTATTATCTGATCTCTAAGGCAAATAAAAAGAATCACCTGCTGCTACAAGAACATACACTCGAACTCGTGCAAGAAAAACGAGGTTCCGAAATAGACTCTTCCAATCCCGCATCCCGTCGCTGTTTTTCATTCCATCCACCATCACGCTACAATGAACATTCATCCTGATCTCCTCGGGTTCAACCCAAGTTTCTCTAGTCTACCGCCTTAGCTCGCCTTAAACTAATGGGTAAAATTATAGCCCTCACTTTGATAATGTACTCTCCTCATTAGGGAGAAAGGCTAAGACTCGCTTAAGGCATATTCAGCCGGTTTTAAAAAACGGTTGTTCGTCGGTGTGTTTAAAGAATTTAACGTGAGACAAAAACTCCACCTACGAGAAGATTAACAAAAAACACTGAAAGCTGTTCTGTTAAATAAAAAACATTTCTTCGTCCTATTGCATTACAACTGAAGTCATACCTCAAATATCCAACAGACTTCATGAATGTCATAGAAAAAAAAAATGTTTCCGAGAGAAGTGATACTCACTTCAATGGACGTTATGAGCTTACACACAAATATCGCTCAAGCTGAGGGTCAATCATAGCATGCACAGCGTACAATAATTTTTACAGAGATGGCCCCCCATTCCAAAGCGCTCGCTAGAGAGAGCACTTAGACTGAACCCAATTCAATTCAATGAGCAAAATTACGTGCAAACGTACGAAACTGCCATGGGCACCAAAATGTCAGTAGCTTTTGCAAACATCTTCATGGCTCAAATCGAAACACAAATCTTAGATTACACTGCTAACAAACCGCTCGTTTGGAAACGCTACATCAACGACTTAATCTCCCTCTTGCACACCAACAGAGATGTCATCAAACAGTTCATTAAGCAAGCATATAAACCCCAACCTATAATCAGATTTAAGGCTAAAATATATTTTTGAGAAGCTGGTTTCTTAGACACGAATATCTATAAGGGTGAAAGATTAAACAGGTAGTCAGTTCTCGATGTAAGAACCCACTTCAAACTAAAAGTGACATTACAGTACACGTTCTACTTGTCAACCACTGGAAGCCAAGAAGGGCTTCCCTGAAGGCGAAGCGTTAAAACTCATCAGGACTAATTATTCAAAAGAAAAATTTGAAGAGAACAATAGACATTTCAATCACAAGTGTCAGAGAGAGGCTACTCGGAAAACTTTGTTGACAAAACACTCTGAGAGGAAACTCTTTTTTTTCAGTTTTACTGCTTCAACGAAAACAAAATTATGCATCGTGTGAACTTGTAGATGTTATTGGTATTTTCCAATTTAAAATCCTCTTGTATGTTACCTTTAGATTAACATGTGAACAGGGAGAGGAACTTTAACTTGTTCACCTGACATGTCCGTAATTCAACCATTTCATGGCGAGTTATCATAAATTATTTCAATATATTGCCATCATTAATGCGAGTTTGAAGCTTTAGTTAACATCTATTTGCTTAATGGTGTACAATACTGGGTTATGTCACTCAGAGAGAAGAACCTCTCTGTTCAAACTAGACTAATTGTCCTCAATACCGAAGAGCGACATGTGGTATATTGGATCGACACTCCCTTATTATAATTTGCTAGACAGCTATGTGCCGCCACACAGGATATTGTTTCGTAGTCGTGAATTTTAACCATGGAATTTAATTTTGCTATTTGGCTTTTGAACATGATATCTTTCTGGGCCCAGAGATCTTAACAAGATGTGAACTAGCCTTAACTTTTTCATTCTGTTGTCGTGAAAAGGGTTGTAAAAATGAAAAGATTATTTTCATAAACAAGGTCACTGTTTGATGACGTCTCTTCTTTGAAAAAATCAGCGGCATGCCACCATATCAACCTAGCAACAGTATCGCACCGCGGGGGACGCCAAAACATTCCGTTACCTACACATCACTTGACAAGAAACTAATACCAACAGCATTCAGCTTGGTTATCAATTATGACAAGCCTGAGAGGCAGCAATGGTTAAATAAGAATGACTTCCGCAAAATCATGCCCGTCAAGTCTTTTAGAAAACGTAGAGGAACTTCTTAAGTTGCAAGGAGTAGAGTCGCAAAGAGTGGAGTTCAAGAAAGCTTGGCATAATCTGAAGGGAACTCCAAGAAGCACTTACTGGCAAGTTATTCATACTATCACTGCCTTTGCCAACGACCTTTATAATGTAAACGGTGGATATATCATTATCGGTGTGGAAGAGAAAGAAGACTGCGAATCTCCTGATAGCGTTCAGGTCATTTTACCACCGCTCGGTGTCACAGGAAATCTCGATAAAATACAGAAGGAGATATCTGGAGCTTGTCGAGAGAACATCAAACCTGTAATTAATCCCATACTGCAACCTGTGGTCGTCGATGGAAAAAAAGTTCTTGTTATCTGGGTCAGACCTTCGGATAATAGGCCACACATGTGCAGAGAAAGTAAGAAGTCAAACGAATGGAACTATTACATAAGAGAGGGCACGGAAACCAGGAAAGCAAGGCCGGAACAGATAAGCCTACTTCATCAACACTCTGGGGCTCCTCCATTTGATGACAGAAAAGCGCCTAATACTGGTAAAATACATTAAACCTAACCTTTACACATGAAATCAGTCCAAAGGCATGCGCTGTTTTAGTATAACCCAAAAAAACCGAATAGTTTCAAATACTAGAAGGAGGAAAACTCCTTTGTTGCAAACTTGATTGTTTTGTTTACGCTCAGTTGTTAAGAGATACCGTATAGAGAAGATATAACAAAAGTGCACAGAAGCGTAAAATGAGTTCTCAGAACTGTAGACGATTAAAATAGCACTTAAAAAAATGATACTCAAGTCTCGCTGCAAGTTATTCTAATACACACAGGAGTTTCTATCCTTTTTATGTGTTACCCGAGGCTAATTAATCTAAACGCCCTGCGGGAGAGGAAGTTGAACTAATTAATCATTTGTGCTATTTACCTATCGTGGCGAGTTTTTATTATTTCATGTTTTCAATGCATCGAACAGCTTAAACTTCTCAACAAGACAATGAAAAATTGTCCCTTTTAATTAAACCAGCTGAACATCCGCATGCGCAGTACAAGAATTATTTTAATAAAATGCGTTTATAATGTTAGGGTTTTTTTAAGTTAATATAAAGTTTTTCTTTTTTAAAGAATCTTTAAGCCTACTGGTCTGATTGTCCTTTTTTATTGAGGAAATCTGTGCCTATTCTTTCATACAATTTACTATTTTGAACAATTATTTTGAACACAGCTAGTGAGTTATTCAACACTGTTGATCAAAGAAATTACATGACAATGGCAGCGAAATCTTAAATTGCACTAACTTTGAGGTCCGCCAGAGCTCATATGATAATAAAGTTGTCAATGACTTTTTCGAACCGAAAGACTTCGTAGAAAACTGACACTAGAAAATTTGTTTCTTTTTTGACACTGAGATATCTCCGGAGGGTAAATCAATAAAAATTTCTTGTTTTATTTCTCACCAGAGCGCGGTTCCTTGTTGAATGAAAACATGATAGATTTGAGTTTGGTACAACAGTATTTGGAAGCAATCGATAGTGCTCTGGTTGGTCAAGAGATCGAACCGATTCATCTCTATGAAAAACTGCAACTGGTACACCCTGTAACTGAGCAAATGTTTACACCACGAAATGTGGCCTTACTTTTCTTTCACCCAAAGCCTCATGAATTTTTCACGGGTGCTAGCACTGAAATTGCTGTATTCACTCACGACAACGAGGCAAAAGAAGAGGTGCTAATCACTGGTCCAATCGACCAACAAATAAAGAAATGTTTGCGTTTTATTCTGGACATCCCAAAGAAAGAGTCGTGCCATGCCATGATTGCATATCCTGAACGAGCTCTTCGTGAAGCCGTTGTTAACGCTTTCCATCACAGAAGTTATGAAAGGTGTGTCCCTGATCGGATCAAAATTCACATTAAGCCAAAGTTCATTGACATCATTAGTTATCCTGGTCCAGATCCCAGTCTGAATCAAGAAGATTTCTCTGAAGATGGAGAAGTACCACCTGTCCCATCCAGGAATAGGAGGATAGCAGACTTCTTAAAATCATTGAAGCTGGCTGAAGGGAGATACACTGGTGTCGGCACAATCTTTCGTTCTATGAAGGATAACAACAATCCCAAACCTAAATTTGATTTCAAAGAGTCATACTTTCGCGTCCGTCTTCCTGGGCACCCCAAATACATCGTTCATTCCGTCAGAAGTAGAGCTGATAATCTCTGTGCAAAGGGGAATAAGGTAGAAGCCGTGAAACTGATCACAAGATTCCTCGAGGAAAATCCAACAATGCAGTCTGAAACCCTCATCGTTAAGCTTTTGGACTTGCTCGGGGATGACAAGCACGATGCAAAATATCATTGTTATCGCGAGTATATTGAAGAAAGGAGACAACGCCGTAGTCCTCTTAAGGAAGAGCTGCTTAAATGGAGTGAAGCCGATGAAACAGACATACCGGCCGGTGTCAAACTTGTCAAGAGCCTGGTGGAAGAGGGTGCAGGCATCAGCGACCTTTCTTGTGTTGTTTCTAGGGCGTCTGAACTCTGTCAGAAGAATACAGATAAAGAACAAAACTTGGAAGCCTTACAGAATGCTCACAAGCTCTATGAGGCTATGGGTGAGGTTGTACAAACAGATGCTTCAGTATCTTTCCAGTTTGCAGACTGTTTGTTAAATTTGTTCTACTTAAACACTACCAATGAAGGATCAGAAAAGGGTAACAGCATTGAAGAGCGTAAAAATCTTTTACCACTCTTAGGAAAGGCAGAAGATTATGTGAAAACCGCCATACAGCTGACACGGCTGAAAGATGACCTTAAGATGACTAATGACAGACTAAAGATGACTGCTTTGCAGCACCGCTTACTTGGCTACATCCACTTCCAGAGATGTTCAGTCGAAAAGTCATTTGAAAAAGAATACAGAGATTGCTACGTCAAAGCTCGCTTGTATAACCCGAAAATATTCATCAATCCTGACTTTGATCCAGAGAGCTCTCTTTCACAAAAAAAATTATGTACGAGCGCAGACAAAAAGGAAAAGAGCCATCAGACATCAGACTCATCAGAAAAAGTCACCCGTTCGTGGCCAGAAATGGGAAATCCTCGCCGCAAAAAGGACGATTGCCTTGACTTAACGGAAACTTAGAATAACACAAGTCCATTGTTTTAGTGTTAGCCAGCAGGAGAGTCGAACATCGAGAGCTAGTAAATTATCAGTGGATTGTGTTCTCGTTGGCCTTCCATCTTGATGCCCGAAGTTTCTATTGGTCGATTGGGCTCCTCCATACGTTTATAGACAGACATGATCCTTGATGCCATTTTTATTCCGTGGGGTATATCAGCGTGCTGGGTTGTGTCAAGTATCATGCACTCTTTTAATTACTCAATATCATACTGAACTTGCGCACGTGTGTAGCAGAACATTTTAAAAGGAGAAGCCACCTAATCCAGTCATTACTGTTCAGTATTTTTTCGAGCTGTGTTCTGCAACTCTGTGAGTTTGCGTTTCCCAATAGGTCTTTTAAGTTCATGAAGGGGGATTACCGACATGTCTAAGATCTTAAAGGAAAAGTCGTTTGGTCTTTGTTATTTGTTACAATTGTTGAGGCTTTCTGTGCTTGCTGTGGATGCTGTGCTGGTGTCTGCATGGGTAACGGCATCTTTCCGTGGAATAATTTGGATCTGAGAACGGTGTTCAAAAATGCTTTTCTAAAACATATTGACAATTCATAACTTTGCCAAAAAACGGCTTGATTATATACACTGGTTGCTTTTGCTCGGACACCTCTGCAATCGGTCCATATGGCCCTTGGTTGGACAAACAGTCCTCAGCAGAGCTCTCCCGATTGCTTCAAAGGTTAGCAGTCCCGGGCCCCTCCCCTTATTTAGGTCTCGATCCGCCGCATAATAGTTTTATTCTTTCCCTCCGCGTGACTCCAAAACTGTGACGCAATCGAGATGACCGTTTATCCATTGCTCTCCTATGGTCTGAAATGTTGTGCGCCATGAGACTTTGGCTGTCCTGAAAATGTCAGTATTTACCATAAAAAAAAAATCCAAGCAGCCAAATGGCATCTTGTCCCTCTTGTTACATTTATTTCACTTATACCAGTCCAGTGCAGTACAAAATGAAAATGAATGCGTACGAATTGTAGCTAGATTAACATGCTCGAAATTGATATGAGCATGTGTCATTTTGAAATAGGCATCATGATTTACAATCAAGTTGTTACAATCAAACTTCCCTAATGGGTTGTTTCATCAACATGCTCAAACGCTTTTGATGAAAATTTGTTCATGCAGGTGTTCGAATTGAACTTCTGTTACACGATGAGTAATATTCTTAAATAACTAAATGATCTATCTCTACAATAAATAAAAAGAAACACCTGGTGTTATATTAAAAATAAAACGGGAGAAACTTGCGGCCGAAAAATGTAAAAACACATCTAGTAGATCTTTGCAAGACACTCATCTTTTTTCTAGTCCCTTGATGACCATCAATTCTGTCCAAAACTTAATTCAAGATTTCCGAAAGCCTTTACAAAAACAGGTCAATTTGATCAATACATCGCTTTCCCCTTTTGAAAGTAAATTTACGAAAAACTTACTAACTCGTCAAAAGTCAACATGAATAAAATTTTATAGATATAGAAATACCCCTGAATCTTACCTTTCAAGTCAACTTTCAGTTTCTTTGAAATGCTTTCAAGGCAAAGTGTTACATCAAAATAAAGTTCAGTAAAGGCTACTTTGCAGAGGTAACCGACACACTCACTGTATGTACAAGAATTGAAAGGTTATCATTACAAGGGTTGCCATACTTTCCTACTAGGAGGGGCTAAATGTACTTAAAATAGCTCTAAGTTTATCAAGGATAACTCATATTATATTCCAACCTAACTTCCCAACAGGAGGGTAATACTCAACACCTCGTTGGGTAAAACTCAACACCCGAACAGACTCATTTTGTGTCTTGTTAAATTGTTATTTTCCTTCTATTGTTTCATGCTACCCGATTCTTTTCCTTTGTACTTGATCTGAATTCGCTCTAAATCCAATTTTAGTTCTTGCCCCTCTCAAGAACTAGATACCCGACTCGATTCAGTTGAGGAACCTTGCAATCTTTCTGTTCCTAGATGGTACCTCTGGTACTTAACTGCTTTCGGTATTATTCACCTTTGTAAGAGTTGGACCGGGACCTGGGTAACTTATGACATCGATGCAATCTGGCTTAATGTGGATTTTTATTGCGTCATAGTTGCAGTCTCCATGCCCTCTGAGATGAAAGGCATTTACAACTGCTTCACGAGGATCTCTCTCTGGATATACCATTCATGACAAGTATCTTATTGGTCTTCAAGATAAATGACAGCACTATTTCAACCTGTTGACTAGTTTGTTCTGTAACGGGCATTTCGTCCGTCACGTCATCATGGCTGTACGTACTAAATTATTTCGTTCCTCGTGAAGTTTTGATATTTGGTGTTGAAAGAAGAGTCATTAACTCTGGGCTATTTAAGATAACTCCAAGGTTTTACAATTGACCTACAGGGGAAAAATTGGGTTGATCAGTGTCCACTAGCCCTTCCCTTCTTACTCTCTAAGGCTAGGTTGGATTAGTGATCAAAGGAAGTGTATCGAGTCAGTCACCGCTTCTGTGTCTTCCCTGAAAGAAAAGGTGAACTATGCTCATTTACTATACGTCCGGCACCACATACTTGCCAGTACTTGTAAAAACACGCCATAAACAGCATTGAGTTTCCAGTTATTGTTTTTGTACTGTAATCATAGAAAGGGCTGCTAATTCAAATAACTTTTGTTAGGCCGAATTTTCGTGACATTAAATTCATAGCGTGACAAAGCGGACATGCATAGTTTCAATCGACCTTTAAACCTGCTGTGAGGTTCATATATCACACAAGAAGCAAACATTCTCCATTTATTTTCATTATGCGAAGATTTCATATTGCTTTACTTTTAAGAAATCTGCTTTAGCTTATTTGCATTATGGAAATATTCAAGCTTCCCAATAGTACTCGTCTTGTCTCCTTGATCTACAGAGATCCTTTCCCCAAAACCTCTGACTGACTGGAATCTATGGGGACCCTGTTCTCTGCCAGGTGTGCTGTAGCTATGGCAAGTGCTACGTAAGTCTTTCCACTGTTTGTTGGAGCGCAAAGGATGCAGCTGTTCCCTTTCAACGCAGGGATCGAAAGCTCATGTTGCTATGAATGGAGTTCAAGTTTCCAACTTGCACTTTTGTCAAGTAACACTGTAAGAGAAAGGTCAAACTGAGAATATTTTATCTTTAAGTCGTGAGATGAAAGTAAAAGGAAACGTTGAATGTGAAGTGCCATCAGAAACTTAACATTAGATTAACATATTCAGGTGAAAAAAAACAAAAACAAAAAAAAAACAAACAAACAAACAAAATAAAACCAATCAGAGATTAGAATTCAGGGGGTATCACTATACCTGGCGGGATGCCTACTTTTTTCATTTTTTGCGTTTCGTCTGAAAGCTCAGTTGAATTACCACCTGAAATAAAAAATTGACCGACTCAAATGTGTGATCCCATAGTGCAATTTAAACGCGTCTCTTTGGCGCGATAAAGAAACTCTGCTGGAGCAGTGCGCTATGCCTCATCTCGCGTCTCGATAGTTTACAGACAGTATTTCATACCACTGCTAACAATTTCAATGAATTCTGGGATTTCTGTCGTGTTCAGGTGTTATCAACTTAATTCATGACACCATCTGCAAGTTCCAGAAAGCAAGCAAACGTTTCAAAACTCTCATTGAAATGACCAAAGGAATGGAAAATATATTTTACCTGCCAAAGTTTTATATACCCGTTCATATTCTTCCTCCATGATATGAATACTCATTTTAAAATGGTTGTTATCAGCACCTATTCCATGAAGCAATTTTTCTTTCAGAACTGCCTTCAGCTTTCCATTACCATAATCTTCCCAAATCTGCTCAGCGACTGACTTCTGAGATACTCGAAGTTTGCAAACTAGCACCTCATCTTTCGTTTCTTGAATTAACGCTGAGAAAGCTGCGCCTTCTGGTAAATCCTAGAATAAGGAAATTGAAGACTTCTTTGGTGAGATACAACACATGGTTAAATAGCGGTGCTTATTTATGTAAAAAAATTCGGTGCGGATCGTTTGTTGCATTAGGCCCGGTTCAGACACCGTACCTCAGCCGCGCCGAATCGAATTCAACGATAGACCGACCTAAATTAGTTAATCCTGGTTGAAGAGATTCAAACGCCGAACTTTATTCGGCCGAAATTAATTAATCGAAGAAAATTAATATTCGGCCATTGGTTTAGCATGCAATTGTAAAAACGGCGGATGCCATGGATTCCGGCAGCAATCGGCGCGTAAGAGCCTTTCTTCTGCTCAAAATGGTGGAAAACAGTGCCAAAAAAAAAGAAGAAGAAGAAGAATGCATATGCAAACCGTCTTAGCCTATTTTGCAGCCTGAAGAAGACAAGTGATAACTGTATGTGCACTCACTCTCCTTCTTGTCATGCATCATCGAGTGGTAGCGACGCTTTACGCCGGTTTCGCTACTCGTCGAGTACTCGTCGAATACCGAATTCGCTGCCTCTGTCAATTCACAGTTTTAATTCTCTATTAAACATAAACCACAAGCTATATCTGTAATTTATACTCCCAACTGCATGATTGCTGCTTTTAGGAGTCAGTTAAAATTCTGCAGATTGACTTCTAGTTTACTTTTAACCACCTCATTTAATTATTTTTGTGATTGTTGCGAAGTTGCGTTTCACAAGTAAACCTGATTGTAATGTTGAACGTATTGGTGAAGTCAATAAAATTGTAAGCTTCTTTCATAGAAATGTCCCTCAGTGACAAGATGTTATCAATAAATCTCTTCCAGGCCAAAGGTTAGAGGGGATAGCCATTAATAGTCGTTTTTCTACGTCTGCTCACTCCATTGTGAGCGATGCGCAGGCTCGATGATAACCACCATAATACGCTGAAACATGGTGACCATTTCAGGCTGAGTAAGGCAGATTTCTTTAAAACAAGATGTTGGTTCGGAAAGATCGTGGAGGTAGAACGATAAAATGATGGGATGAAGTAAGTAGCGAATTCGGCATGTAAGTAGC